CATCCAGAGAGCACTGTGGACTCAAACAATGATAGATCTGGACCAAACTTGGCACAAATACTCAATATACCCAAATGTGGATATTGGTGGAGTTTGGGGGGAAATAGACCTTGGCATTTTGGAGTTTTGCTGGGATTTATAGTTCACCTACAACCAAAGAGCATTCTGAACTCCACCAATGATGGAATTGAACCAAACTTGGCACACAAAACTCCCATGACCAACAGAAAATACTGAAAGGGTTTGGTGGGCATTGACCTTGGGTTTGGGAATTGTAGTTCACCTACATCCAGAGAGCACTGTGGACTCAAACAATGATGGATCTGGACCAAACTTGGCAATGATAATATTCCCAAATGTGGACATTGGTGGAGTTTGGGGGGAAATAGACCTTGGCATTTGGGAGTTTTAGTTGCTGGGATTTATAGTTCACCTACAATCAAAGAGCATTCTGAACACCATCAATGATGGAATTGAACCAAACTTGACACACAGAACTCCCATGACCAATAGAAAATACTGGAAGGGTTTGGTGGGCATTGGCCTTGAGTTTGGGAGTTGTAGTTCACTTTCATCCAGAGAGCACTGTGGACTCAAACAATCATGGATCTGGACCAAACCTTTCTGGACCAAACTTCTGATGATGATATTTTGTGCACTGGCATATCGTTGTTCCTAAGAGTTCAAAAAGATCGCCAGGTTTATCAGTCTAACAACTGAGACACTTATATGGCTGTGCGGAAGGACCCTGAAATAACACTTCTGATGATCTGCTATATATTCTGTGCAATGGCATATCTGTGTACCTAACAGCTCAAAGAGATAATAATAATAATAATAATAATACCACCAACAACAACAATAGACCATCAGATAGCCAGGTTTATCAGTCTAACAACTGAGAAACCTTTGCGGAAAGGCCCTGAGGCTGTAGAGCAAAGGCAGGATTGGCTTCTCTGCAATTATCCCCCTCCTTTGTGGATGCAGCACCCAAAAAGCCTTGGATGTGGTGTGACTTTTGCAAGACAGATTAAAGATTCAGCACCTCGGAGATCCAAACCCTGTGCCGTCTCAAGACTCTCGAAATCTGGCCTCCTGAATCCGTCCTCGCCAAAGCTGGGAGTGGTTTTTGGGCCTGGGTCAAGAATTCCCTTTCTGTGGCCAAATGTGATTTGTTTTTCCATGGCAGAGAGAGAGAGAGAGAGAGAGAGAGAGAGAGAGAGAGAGAGAGAGCTCCGTCCCTCCGCTCGCTCTCCGGAATGTCGGAAGCCTGCAGAAGCCCGAAAGGCCCCCCGAAAGGGCCAGTCGTGGGGATCGTCTTGCAGGCCATTGTTTGGAGGTCCCTCCAGCTGCTGCACCTGTCCAAAAGGGAACAAGGGGGGGATTTTGTCCAGATCTCTGCAAATCTCAGGTTTTCGGCTCCCTCCGGCAACTGCTTGGGAACAGGTGCCTGGCCCGGCCTTCCCAGAGAAAGGTCTTCTGTATCTACAAGGGGCATTCAGGAAAGATTTCCCCTGACCCACTTCTATTGATCACAGGATGCTGAAACTGCACGTGTGTCATCACAGAAGTCTCTATATGTTAGGTGCCAATTTACGAGCCAGAACTGAGAACGGTCTTGATTTGACGGGTGCTGAAGTGGAGTGAGGTTTGAGAATGGACCCGGTGGAAGACAGTCAGTGTTGTGTTGTGTATTGTCAGTCCCATCTTCTCCTCGAAGAGGCCCTATCGCCTCCTTGTTTTTCTTTTTTCTACTGACATAAGAAGAGAATCCCTTTTTATTGTTTTTAATGTCCCTGGCAAGCCTGAGCTCGTTTTGTGCTTTAGCCTTGCGGACCTTTTCCCTACAGGTGTTGGCTATTTGTTTGAATTCTTCTTTGGTGATTTCTCCCTTTTTCCACTTCTTGTGCATGTCTCTTTTGTGTCTTAGCACAGTTAGAAGTTCTTTGGACATCCATTCCACTGGAATGGACGATGCCAGTTCTTGACTCCATCATCGGATGGGGAATCCTCACCATCAACCACTAATTCAGTGGTCCTCAACCTTCCTAATGCCGCGACCCCTTAATACAGTTCCTCATGTTGTGGTAACCCCCTACCATAACATTATTTTTGTTGCTACTTCACAACTGTAATTTTGCTACTATTATGAATTGTAATGTAAATATCTGATATGTAGGATGTATTTTCATTCAATGGACCAAATTTGGCACAAATAAGGCATTGCTCTTAGTCCACAGGAAGTGAGTCAGGGGAAATCTTTAATGAACGGCCCTCGTAAAAACCTCTTGATGACGATGATAAAATTTGCTTTGCGTCTTGGCCAAGAGACATTCACTTACGTTTCCCCATTTGCCACCTTTCTCCAAGAGCAGGGCCCAACTTTTTCCTAACTCATGGAAACAATGAATGGCCAATAAAATGTTGTTGTTGTTGTTGTTGTTGTTGTTGTTGTTGTTGTTGTTGTTGTTGTTAGTATTATTATTAGCCCCACTTTTATCTCCTGACGAAAATGCAAAGAAAGGCTTTAATGGACGGAATCACTGGGTTGTTGTGAGTTTTTCGGGCTGTCTCGCCATGTTCTGGAAGCATTCTCTCCTGACGTTTCGCCCCCATCTATGGCAGGCATCCACAGAGGTTGTGAGCTCTGTTGGAAACGAGGCAAGTAAGGTTTATATACCTGTGGAATAATGTCCAAGATGGCCTGCCTAGCCGTAATCACTGGGTTGTTGTGAGTTTTCCGGGCTGTCTGGCCATGTTCCAGAAGCATTCTCTCCTGACGTTTCGTCCCCATCTATGGCAGGCATCCTCAGAGGTTGTGAGCTCTGTTAGAAACAAGGCAAGTAAGGCTTATATACCAGTGGAATAATGTCCAAGATGGCCTTCTTGTGAGTTTTCCAAGCTGTCTGGCCATGTTCTGGAAGCATTCTCTCCTGACGTTTTGCCCCCATCTATGGCAGGCATCCTCTGTTGGAAAGTAGGAAAATGGGGTTTATATATCTGGGGAATGATGTCCAGGATGGGAGAAAAAACTCTTGTTGTTGGAGGCAGGTGTGAACGTTGCTATTGCCCACCTTGATTAGCATCGAATGGCCTAGCAGTTTCAAAGCCTGGCTTCTTATTGCTTGGGTAAATCCTTTTTTGGGAGGTGCTAGCTGGTCCTGATTGTTTCCTGTCTGGAATTCCCCTGTTTTTTTTAGTGGTCCTCATTCTGATTTTAGTATTTTTAGTATCTTAGTTTTTATCTTGCGCATGCCGCCCGCTCCTTTTTATTTTATTTTATATGATTTTGCTTTATTGTTTTTTGTACTCATATGTTGTATGTAATTTACTGTGTTGTTATTGTGTTTTTGGTTTTACTTTATTTATTGTAATATGCTGTTGGGCTTGGCCTCATGTAAGCCGCCCCGAGTCCCCATTGGGGAGATGGTGACGGGGTACTAAATAACTGTTGAAACTGTCCACATACTTGCCTCAGTTGGGTCAACGCTGGGATTTCATGACGGTCTTGCTTTCAAGTGTTCTGAGTTTTGTGTATCAAGTTTTTGCCAAGCTCCTGATTTGTGTATTGGATTTTTCATGCTGCCTTCAGAACCCCATTCTGCCAAGAAACAGGAAAACGGCATTCCAAGCACCCCTGACAGATGGCCATCCAGCCCCTGTTTAAAAGCTTCCAAAGAAGGAGCCTCCACCACACTCCGGGGCAGAGAGTTCCACTGCTGAACGGCTCTCACAGTCAGGAAGTTCTTCCTCATGTTCAGATGGAATCTCCTCTCTTGTAGTTTGAAGCCATTGTTCCACATCCTAGTCTCCAAGGAAGCAGAAAACAAGCTTGCTCCCTCCTCCCTATGACTTCCTCTCACATATTTATAAGTGGTTCTCATGTCTCCTCTCAGCCTTCTCTTCTTCAGGCTAAACATGCCCAGCTCCTTAAGCCGCTCCTCATAGGACTTGTTCTCCAGACTCTTGATCATTTTAGTCATCCTCCTTTGGACACATTCCAGCTTGTCAACATCTCTCTTCAGTTGTGGTGCCCAGAATTGGACACAATATTCCAGGTAAAGTGGTCTAACCAAAGCAGAATAGAGCTTGGGGAGCATGCCTTCCCTGGATCTAGACACTATAGAGGCCAAAAAAGCCCATTGGCTTTTTTCAATACATTGCGATGTTTTATAATAATAATAATAATAATAATAATAATAATAATAATAATAATATTTATATACTGCTCCATCTCCCCGAGAGGACTCAGAGCGGTTCCCGGGCGACATCACAAAACATACAAAGTAAAAACCAACACAACCATAACATTAACAAAACACAATATAAGCATAAAGATTGTCGCCGTATCACACATATATTAAAAGTAAAGATGTTTTTTCTCCAGATACTTGTTGGTCCCTCAAAGGGATGGAGGCCTACGCCCCATCCTAAACCTATGGGAAGTCAACTTCTATATTAAGCCATGCAAATTTCACATGATCACTCTCCCCATGATCCTCTCACTGATCCGTAAGGGCGCATGGTTTGCGACAGTGGATTTTAAGGATGCCTATTTCCATATTAGGATTAGGCCAGCCCATCACAGGTATTTTTCAGGTTGGACATCGTTGTTATTGTTTTGATGTCCTTCCTGCCATAGATGGAGGTGAAACGTCAGGAGAGAATGCTTCTGGAACATGGCCATACAGTCCGGAAAATTCACAACACCCCAATAACACTGTGGTGCAGCTAGTTAGTAGCCAGCTGCATTAAATCACTACTGATCAAGTTTGAAGCCAGCCCGGGTCGGAGTGAGCTTCCGACCATTAATAGTCTAGCTTGCTGTTGACCTATGCAGCTACTGGAATATGGACAGACAGCTTGGAAAACTTACAGCAACCCAATTATTTGATCTTCTTACTATAACTCAATATGTTGATCAGCAGGATGATGCCTACAATTATGCTCCTCCTTGACGTAACTTTCCTTTTCCTCTCTCCATTTATGTCTCTTTGAAGGGATTTTGGAGTTCATCAGTTTGGCCGTAGGACTGGTCAGCATCCGAGGAGTGGACTCCGGCCTTTATCTGGGGATGAACGAAAGAGGGGAGCTCTACGGATCGGTAAGCGTGACCCCGGAGAAGATCCAACGCTTTGCATGGAATGAGCCCACCTGTGTGGAAACAGCCATGGCTTGGGGAGGTCAATTAGGGCGGTGCAAAATTATCAATAGTCCTCGTATTATTTACTTTGTTTATATACCACTTTTCAATCGGTATTTCTCAACATGGGGGCCGCGAGGGGGTGTCAGAGGAGTTGCACAAAAATGACGTTTCTGAGGCACTACGTCTACTGCATAATTAAAAGGGAAATAACACTTGCAAACTAGGAACATATTTTCATTATTATTATTATTATTATTATTATTATTATTATTATTATTCAGAGCCAGGATGTCCATCTGTTGGGGGTGCTCTGATTGTGCTTTTGCTACATGGTAGAAGGGGGTTGGACTGGATGGCCTTTTGGGTCAACCGGAGATGATGGAGGAGTAGGAGGGAAGAAGGAGGAAGGAAAGAAGGAAAGACACAAGGGAAGGAAGGAAGGGAAGGAGGAAGGAAAAGGAAGGAAGTGAAGGATAAAGGAGAGATGGAAGGAAGGAAGGAAGGAGGAAGAGGGAAGGAAGGAAAGATGAAAAGGTGGGAGGGAAGGAATCATGATAGTCTGACACGCAGGGAACAGTAGTGCAGTATGCTTAGAAGGTAAGAGGATTGAATGTAGGAGATAGAAGAAAAGGATAGCAATGTGATAAATGTCTCACCATGGAGGTTATGTAGCTAGAAAGGGAAGTTAGAGAAAATCAGGGTAAGGAAGTGGAGGGTAGGGGAGGAGAAGTGAGGTTTGGGGAGTCGGAGGGAGGGAGGGAGGGAGGAGGGAGGTGGAGGGTTAGGCTTTGGAGAATTTGGAAGGCTCTGCTCTAAGGGTAAGACCAACCCCTAGATAGAACAACAGCAGCACCCCATGGAAGAAAGTAATGAGGGGGGAGGGAGGGAGTGAGGAGGACAGGGTTGGAGAGTATGCTAGCTAGGAAAGGAAGGAAAGGAAGGAGCGAAAGTATGGTAAAAGACAGAAGGAAGGCAATGATGTGCTCACGTCAGGAGGGTTAGATAGCTAGGTAAGGGAGGTTAGGTACAGGAAAGAAGAAAAGAAGGAGTCCAGTATGCAACAGGCACCCCAAGGCAGTAGGAGGTAGCTAGGAATAGGAAGAATGAAGGACGTTTAGGAGGGAAAAAAGAGGGGAGGGAAGCAGACAAGAGAAGACAGCTTATTTAAGAGATGGAAAGAAGTTAAGGAAAGGGAATGTAGGAAAGGTAAGGATGAGGCAATGTATGTCACAACTCAGAAAGATGTCCAACTGTAAGCCTCAGGAAGGGAGGGGGAGGGAGAGGGATGGGGGAGTGGGAGGGAGGAGAGATCAAGGAAGGAGGGAAGGAAGATGGAGAGGAGGAGAATGTGATGATTCCAGCAGGCCAAGGGAGTGGAGGTAGTCTAGGAAGAGGGGTAAGAAGAAGGAAGTAAGTAGGAAGGAAGGATATGACAATGTATGTCACACCAGGGAGGAATACTGCTATGCTAGATTAAGGGAGGATGAAAGGAAGGAAAGGAAAGGAGGAAAGAGGGGAAGGAAAGGAAGGAAGGGATGGAAGGAAGGAAGGAAGGGAAGGAGGATGGAAAAGTGGAGGAGAAAGGAAAGTACTGCGAAAGGATTAGGAAGTGTAGGGGGGGAAGGGATAAGAGGGGAGGGAACGTGATGATGTCGCCATCAGGGATGGGAGTGTAGCGTAGTAACACACATTACTGTATGGGAAGGCGGAGAACTTAAATTATCCCCTCAGGGGTATTCCTAATTGCAACTCCATAAATGGAATGAAGGGAAGGAAGATCGCAGAATTTTATAAAAATGCACAGCTGGAAAGAAAATATATGATTGTAGGAGAGAATGTGCGGTGAGGGTTGTCTGTGCAATTCAAAAAGGAAGTAGGGGACGGGAAGGAATGAGGCAATGACTGTCACAGGCTCTGGTGTTGTCTGATGGTTTGGGGACCAGGGTTTAGGTACGTGAGCTCTGATAAAGGGGGAAGGAAGGAAGGAAGGTAATAAGGAAGGGAAGAAGTAAGGAAAGAAGAAAAGAAGGAAGTAAGGAAGTGATGATGTCTCACCAGGCAGGGAGGTAGCTAGGAAAGGAAGAACCAAGGAAGGAAGTAGGGGAGGAAGGAAAGAGGGAGGGAAGTGATGATGTCCCAGCAGGGAGGGAGGTAGCTAGGAAGGGAAGAAGTAAGGAAGGAAGTAGGGAAGGAAGGAATGAGCAATGATGTCTCACCAGATAAGTAGGTAGCTAGGAAAGGAAGAAAGGAGGGAGGGAGGGAGGGAGGAAGTAGGGAAGGAAGTAGGGAAGGAAGGAGGGAAGTGATGATGTCCCAGCAGGGAGGGAGGTAGCTAGGAAGGAAAGAAGGAAGGAAGGAAGTAGGGAAGGAAGGAATGAGCAATGATGTCACACCAGATAAGTAGGTAGCTAGGAAGGGAAGAAGGAAGAAAGTAGGAAGGAAGGAAGGAAGGCCCCCAGAAAGTGCATGAGGCAGAAAGAAGGAAGTAAGTGATGATGCCTCACCAGGGATGTAGGTAGCTAGAAAGGGAAGAATTAAGGAAGGAAGTAGGGAGGGAAGGAAGGAATGATGTCTCACCAGATAGGTAGGTAGGTAGGGAGGGAAGTAGCAAGGAAGTAGAGAAGAAAGGAAGGAAGCCCCCCAGAAAGTGCATGAGACAAAAACACAACATGCTGCCGATCTTCTCGCTTTCATCTTCCCACGAATTGCGGAACCATATCATTTTAAAGCTGAGAACAACGAATACCATCACATGACAGAATTGCCCATTTTGCCCATCTCTATCCAGATAACTTGCAAAAAAGTCACTTGCTAACCAGCTGAGAAAGTGTCTGAAAAGACAACCCTTTGCAATGGTTTAAAAAAAACAAACCCAAAATATCTCTACCAGACACTTGTGCCTACGCAGGGGCGGCTCACCCATTACGCAAAGTAAGCATTCGCGAAAGAGTTGATTTTGCCCAGGGGCGCTCTTGAGGAGTTCTTGGGGGAAAATAGACCTTGACATATGCGAGTTGTAGTTACTGGGATGTATAGTTCACCTAAAGTCAAAGAGCATTCTGAACTCCACCAATGATGGAACTGAACCAAATATGGCACACAGAACTCCCATGATGAACAGAAATATACGAGGGGTATTTTTTAAATAAGGTCCATTTTGTTGTAGACACTAGTAGTTTGCGCGCATACCGCAACAAGCGCGTGCGTCGTGTACCGGCATGCCTCGGGAACAACTGTGCTCAGTTTCCGCTCTATAGCTCACCTGTACAGTTCTGTTCTGTGCTTTAAAAATGTTTAAGGCTATCAACTCACCCTCCGCATGTGAGGTTCACTCAGTGAGACCGTTTTTGTCAGCAAGGAACCTGCCTGCTGCGGAAATTCATCGACAGATTTGAGAAGTGTACGGTGATACTCTTATGAGTGAAAGCAAAGTGCGTAAGTGGGTACGACAATTCAAAGATGGCCGTGACAACGTCCATGATGAGGACTGCTCCGGTCGCCCTTCTTTGATTACAGATGATTTGGTGGCTTCAGTTGAAGCGAGGATTCGTGAGAACAGGTGCTTCACAATAACAGATTTCCTGACGTGTCGAGATCAGTGCTTTACAACATTGTTTCTGAACACCTAAAGTTTAGGAAACTGTGCTCCCGTTGGGTCCCGAAACTCCTAACAGAGGACCACAAAAACCAAAGATTTGAGTGTGCGATCAAATCAAATCGTCTGTAATCAAAGAAGGGAGACCGGAGCGGTCCTCATCATGGACGTTGTCACGGCCATCTCTGAATTGTCGTACCAACTTACGCACTTTGCTTTCACTCATAACAGTCTCACCGTACACTTCACAAATCTGCCGATGAATTTCTGCAGCAAGCAGGTTCCTTGCTGACAAAAACCGTCTCACTGAGCGAACCTCACATGCGGAGGGTGAGTTGAGAGTCTTATACATTTTTAAAGCACAGAACAGAACTGTACAGGTGAGCTACAGAGCGGAAACGGAGCACAGTTGTTCCCGAGACATGCCGGTACACGACGCACATGCTCGTTGCGGTATGCGCGCGAACTACTAGTGTCTACAACACAACGGACCTTACTTAAAAAATACCCCTCGTATATTTTCTGTTCATCGTGGGAGTTCTGTGTGCCATATTTGGTTCAGTTCCATCATTGGTGGAGTTCAGAATGCTCTTTGACTGTAGTTGAACTATACATCCCAGTAACTACAACTCGTGAACTACTAGTGTCTACAACACAACGGACCTTACTTAAAAAATACCCCTCGTATATCAGTGATTGGTTGGGGGGAAGAGGCAAAATACTGTTTGCTTACCGTTGAAAATTACCTAGGGCCACCTCTGAGCCTACGTCATGTGATGAACACAGTAGGTTGCCATTTCTTAAGTGGGTGGCTCAGTAGTATTTGATAAGTCTGATGAAGTGGCAAATTGGAGCACTTAGAATATTGCAGCATCCCATCACTTTGAGCCGTGGCCAAACGGCATTCGTTCTGCGGTGTGGGTGCAGCATTGGAGACGGGATATAAATGGGGATGATGGGTGATGTTTGACATGTTTTTCTTATTCTCCACTTTCTTCTTTTGCAGAAGAAGCTCACCAGGGAGTGCGTCTTCCGGGAGCAGTTCGAGGAGAACTGGTACAACACTTACGCCTCGACGCTGTACAAACATTCCGACTCCGAGCGGCAATATTACGTGGCCTTGAACCGGGATGGATCCCCCAGAGAAGGATATAGGACTAAGCGGCACCAGAAGTTCACCCACTTCTTGCCCCGACCAGTGGACCCCAGTAAGACGCCCGCCATGTATAGGGACCTTTACCACTATAGGTGATCCGGACTCTACAGTTTGGGTTTCTTGTATATATATATGTAGGAAACAGAGGGATGCTTTTGGTGCTCCTTGCCCAACGGAGAAGGACCTGCCATGACTTTCTCAAGTCTTGAAGGCAACTCTATTTACTTCTTTGGGGCCGGAGATGGATGCAGGTCTTGGAAGGAAAAGAAACAGACCAAAGATATATATATATATATATATTGAAATGGATGCAGAACCTGGAAGGAAAATAAACAAATCCAAGTGGAGATGGACACTTGGACCTCCACTGGTGCCTTCTTTAACCGGTGAGCGAGGAAAAGGACCAAAGAAACCCTAAGATAATTCTATTACTATGTTCTGAAATGACAATTACCACCAGCATCAATCGCCGGACATACGATTGAGACGAAAGGTGGCGCATTTTGAGGGAAAGCCTTTGGATGGATTGGGTTTGCTCTTTGGAGGTATCCACATGGACTTCTTCTTGCCTGATGGATCCAAATGGACTTCTTCTGAAACTCCTGACCTATTCAAGTCCATGTTAAATCATGATCCTGATGGATTGATCCAAACGGACCGGATGAGCGGAATATCCTCATCCTTTTTGCTGGATGGAACACCTCGAAGTACCCAAATGGCCATCTCTAATTTCTGGACTTCTTTTAGGACAAGTGCATTCAAATGGAATTGGCTATCTGGACTTTGTAGGAATTGGACGATGAATGTGTTTTTGTGTGTTCCTATCGTGCTGTTTTCCTACTTTTGGAAATACCGTATGTGCGATTTCACAGAGACCACGACGGAGAAAAGGGCGTGAAAGGGAATCATCTGTCGCCCGATGTAAACACGGCCCTGTCTCTGAGGGCGAACCCTATTTATAAAGTGTATATGGGTATTTATTTTATATATTTATTTATTTCAGGAAAAGAAATAATTATTATTTTATTTTTTAACAAAGGGAAATAAGAGAAAGATTATGGCCGAACTTTCGCCGACTGGAAGAGAGAGGAGCGGGTGGGCGTTTGCGGGGAATGGAGTTTGAAGAGCTTAACCAGCAATAAAAATTGTCTTTATATCTATCTATCTATATGACGGGGCAGTTTGATGATTTTTTCCAACGGTGTCCCTTTGAAAGAGAAGAAATGAGTAAGAAATAGAAGATATTGTCATCTCAGGGAATTCGGAGGTTTCTAAGCTGCTGAAAACCAGCTCAATGGTGAACACAAAAAAGGCAGATTAACATGTAATCTCTTGATACAGTAATAATAATAATAATAATAATAATAATAATAATAATAATAATAATCTATATATAWATAAATGCTCTGTGCATAATGAGTTCCTTAAAAACAAAAGAACCAATGAACGAAATCACACCAACTTTGGCAACAAAACGTCTCACAACACAAGGAGTGACCATCACTCAAAAAATTATGATTTTGCCATTTGGGAGTTGGTAGTTGCTGGGATTTATAGTTCACCTAAAATCAAAGAGCCTTCTGAACTCCACCAATGATGGAATTGAATCAAACTTGGCACACAGAATTCCCATGACCAAGAGAAAATACTGGGAGGGTTTGGTGGGCATTGACCTTGAGTTTGAGAGTTGTAGTTCACCTACATCCAAACAGCATTCTGAACTCCACTAATGATGGAATTGAACCAAACCTGGTACTCCAATGACAAACGGAAAACACTAGAAGGGTTTGGTGGGCATTGACCTTGAGTTTGGGAGTTGTAGTTCACCTACATCCAGAGAGCATTCTGTACTCCACCAATGATGGAATTGAACCAAACCTGGCACTCCAATGCAAACAGAGAATATTGGAAGGTTTTGATGGGCACTGTCCTTGAGTTTGGGAGTTGTAGTTCACTTACATCCACTGTGGACTCAAACAATGATGCATCTGGATCAAACTTGGCATGGATACTCAATATGCCCAAATGTGAAAACTGATTAGAGTTTGGAGAAAATAGACCTTGATATTTGGGAGTTGTAGTTGTTGGGATTTATAGTTCACCCACAATGAAATAGCATTCTGAACTGCACCAACGACAGAATTGGACCAAACTTCCCACACAGAACCCCCATGACCAACAGAAAATACTATGCTTTCTGATGGTCTTTGGCGACCCCTCTGACACCCCCTCGTGACCCCCGCAGGGGTCCCGACCCCCAAGTTGAGAAACACTGATCTATATATATATAAATGCTCTGTGCATAATGAGTACCTTAAAAACAAAAGAATCAATGAACGAAAACACACCAACTTTGGCAACAAAACGTCTCACAACACAAGGAGTGACCATCACTCAAAAAATTATGATTTTGCCATTTGGGAGGTGTAGTTGCTGGGATTTATAGTTCACTTACAATCAAGAGCATTCTGAACTCCATCAGTGATGGAATTGAACCAAACTTGGCACACAGAACTCCCCTGACCAACAGAAAATATTGGAAGGGTTTGGTGGGCATTGACCTTGAGTTTGGGAGTTGTAGTTCACCTACATCCAGAGAGCACTGTGGACTCAAACAAGGATAGATCTGGACCAAACTTGCCATAGATTGGGTATATGCCCAAATATGAAAACTGGTGGAGTTTGGGGAAAATAGACCTTGATATTTGGGAATTGTAGTTGCTGGGATTTATAGTTCACCTACAATCAAAGAGCATTTTGAACTCCACCAGTGATGGAATTGAACCAAACTTGGCAAACAGAACTCCTATGACCAAGAGAAAATACTGGAAGGGTCTGATGTGCATTGACCTTGGGTTTGGGAGTTGTAGTTCACCTACATCTAGATTGCACTGTGGATTCCAACAATGATGGATCTGGACCAAACTTGGCACAAATACTTAATATTCCCAAATGTGAACACTGGTGGAGTTTGGGGAAAGTAGACCTTGACATTTGGGAGTTGTAGTTGCTGGGATTTATAGCTCACCTACAATCAAAGAACATTTTGAACCCCACCAATGACGGAATTGGGCCAAACTTCCCACACAGAATCCTCATGACCAACAGAAAATACTTTGTTTTCTGATGGTCTTTGGCGACCCATCTGCTACCCCCTCGCAATCCCTCCTCGAAGGATCCCGGCCCCCAGGTTGAGAAACGCAGGTTTAGAAACTATGCATCCCTAGATGGCCTTTGGGGCCCCCTTCCAACTCTATGGTTTCATGAGAGGGGAACGATGCCATGCCTTAAATTCCTGCCTGAATCTTGTCCTTCTGGTCATCTCTAGCGAAGATAGGCTAGTTTCCACAGGGTCCCAACTTGAGCTCTCAACTGACCACAGAAGAATCCAAACCCAGGTCTACAAGATCTTTGGCCAAATCTGACCGGATGCAATTGAGATGCTTCCCAACGTTCTGGCTCAGTGTTAAAGGTAAAGGCTTCCCCAGACATTAAGTCCAGTCGTGTCCGACTCTGGGGGTTGGTGCTTACCTCCATTTCTGGGCTGAAGAGCCGGTGTTGTCCATAGACGCCTCCAAGGTCATGTGGACAGCATGGCTGCATGGAGCGCCATTACCTTTCTGCCGAAGCGGAACCTATTGCTCTACTCACATTTGCATGTTTTTAAACTGCTAGGTTGGCAGAAGCTGGGGCTAACAGCGGGAGCTCAACCCGCTCCCCGCATTCAAAGTGCCAACCTTTTGATCAGCAAGTTCAGCGGCTCAGCGGTTTAACGTGCTGCGCCACCAAGGGGCCCTCTAATTCAGATTTATATATATATATATATTGGTATGTAGCTTCTTTAACTCTTATGTTGTTTGAGGTAGTGGGAGGGGCTGTAGACCATGTGATCAGATCTGGGACTATTCAGACAGACTGAGACTGCATTTTAGAAGTCAGTGTTGTCTGACTTTTGGTCAGCAAGTTCAGCAGCTCAGCAGTTTAATGTGCTGCGCCACCAAGAGGCCCACTAATTCAGATTACTTACTATATTATATATGTATATATATTGGTATGCAGCTTCCTTAACTCTATGTTGTTTGAGGTTGTGGGAGGGGCTGTAGACCATGTAATCAGATCTGGGACTATTCAGACAGACTGAGACTCCATTTTAGAAGTCAGTGTTGTCTGACTTGTGCTGCACCACCAAGGGGCCAGCTAATTCAGATTACTTACTATATTATATATGTATATTTTGGTATGTAGCTTCCTTAACTCTATGATGTTTGAGCTTGTGGGAGGGGCTGCAAACCATGTGATGAGATCTGGGCCTATTCAGACTGAGACTCTATTTTAGAAGTCAGTGTTGTGTCGTGTCATGTAGTGTATTGTATAGTCAGTGTTTAGTATGCATTAGACACAATACAGAGAAAACTGCAACAGAATGCTGCCAATCTTTTGGTCAGGAAGTTCAGCAGCTCAGCGGTTTAACCCGTTGCGCCACCAGCAACCCACTAATTCAGATTATTTACTATATTTATATATATATATGTGTGTGTGTGTGTGTGTGTGTGTGTTTTGGTATGCAGTTTCCTTAACTCTATGTTGTTTGTGCTTGTGGGAGGGGCTGCAGACCATGTGATCAGATCTGGGCCTATTCAGACTGAGACTCTATTTTAGAAGTCAGTGTTGTTTTGTGTAGTGTGTTGTATAGGCATAATACATAGAAGAGACTGCAACAGAATGTCGCCAAACTTTCGGTCAGGAAGTTCAGCAGCTCAGCGGTTTAACTCGTTGCGCCACCAGGAGCCCACTAATTCAGATTACTATCTATATAAATAAAAATGTAATGTTCGTTTGTGGGATTAACAGAACTCAAAAAACACTGGACAAATTGACACCAAATTTGGCCACAAGACACCTAACAACCCAATGTATGTCCTTCACTCAAAAAATTGATTTTGTCATTTGGGAGTTGTAGTTGCTAGGATTTATAGTCAAAGAGCATTCTGAACTCCACCAATGTTGGAATGGAACCAATCTTGGCACACAGAACTCCCATCACAAACAGGGAATATTGGAAGAGTTTGGTGGAGATTGACCTTGAGTTTTGGAGTTGTAGTTCACCTACATCCAGAGAGCACTGTGGACTCAAACAATGATGGATCTGGACCAAACTCTACATGAATACTCAATATGCCCAAATGTGAACACTGGTGGAGTTTGGGGAAAATAGAATCTTGACATTTGGGAGTTGTAGTTACTGGGATTTATAGTTCACCTACATCCAGAGAGCACTGTGGACTCAAACAATGATGGATCTGAACCAAACTTGGCACAAATACTCCATATGCCCAATTATGAACACTGGTGAAGTTTGGGGAAAATAGAATCTTGACATTCAGGAGTTGTAGTTGCTTGGATTTGTAGTTCACCTACAATCACAGAGTATTCTGAACCCCACCAACGATAGAATTGGGCCAAACCTCCCACACAGAACCCCCATGACCACCATATTTTGGTATGTTTTGGTATTTAAGAAGTCAGTGTTGTGTTGTGTATTGTCAGTGTTTGTTATGCATTAGACATAATACAGAGAAGAGACTGCAACACAATGTCGCCAACCTTTTGGTCAGGAAGTTCAGCAGCTCAGCGGTTTAACTTGCTGCGCCACCAGGAGCCCACTAATTCTGATTACTTACTATACTATATATGTATATTTTGGTATGTAGCTTCCTTAACTCTATGTTGTTTGAGGTTGTGGGAGGGGCTGCAGACCATGTGATCAGATCTGGGACTATTCAGACAGACTGAGACTCCATTTTAGAAGTCAGTGTTGTCTGACTTTTGGTCAGCAAGTTCAGCAGCTTAATGTGCTGCGCCACCAAGGGGCCCACTAATTCAGATTACTTTCTCTCTCTCTCTCTCTCTCTCTCTCTATATATATATATATATAGGTATGTTGCTTCCTTAACTCTGTTGTTTGAGGTTGTGGGAGGGGCTGCAGACCATGCGATCAGATCTGGGACTATTCAGACAGACTGAGACTCCATTTTAGAAGTCAGTGTTGTCTGACTTTCGATCAGCAAGTTCAGCAGCTCGGCAGTTTAATGGGCTGCGCCACCAAGGGCCCACTAATTCAGATTACTTACTATATTTTATATGTCTATTTTGGTATGTAGCTCCCTTAACTCTATGTTGTTTGAGGTTGTGGGAGGTGCTGCAGACCATGTGATCAGATCTGGGACTATTCAGACAGACTGAGACTCCATTTTAGAAGTCAGTGTTGTCTGACTTGTGCTGCACCACCAATGTGATCAGATCTGGGACTATTCAGACAGACTCTATTTTAGAAGTCAGTGTTGTGTAGCGTATTGTATAGCCAGTATTCATTATGCATTAGGCATAATACAAAGAAGAGACTGCAACAGAATGTCACCAAACTTTCGGTCAGGAAGTTCAGCAGCTCAGCGGTTTAACTCGCCGCACCACCAGAAGCCCACTAATTCAGATTATTTACTATATTTTATATATATGTGTGTGTGTTTTGGTATGCAGCTTCCTCAACTCTATGATGTTTGAGCTTGTGGGAAGGGGCCGCAGACCATGTGATCAGATCTGGGACTGTTCAGGCTGAGACTCCATTTTAGAAGTCAGTGTTGTGTTGTGTAGTGTATTGTATAGTCAGTGTTCATTATGCATTAGGCATAATACAGAGAAGAGACTGCAACAGAATGTCGCCAAACTTTCGGTCAGGAGGTTCAGCAGCTCAGCGGTTTAACCCGCAGCGCCACCAGCAGCCCACTAATTCAGATTACTTACTATATTATATATGTATATTTTGGTATGTTTTGGTATTTAAGAAGTCAGTGTTGTGTTGTGTATTGTCAGTGTTTGTTATGCATTAGACGTAATACAGAGAAGAGACTGCAACAGAATGTCGCCAAACTTTCGGTCAGGAAGTTCAGCAGCTCAGCGGTTTAACTCGCCGCACCACCAGGAGCCCACTAATTCAGATTATTTACATAGATACGTAAATGTACATGTGTATATATATATATGTTTTGGTATGCAGTTTCCTCAACTCTGTTGTTTGAGCTTGTGGGAGGGGCTGCAAACAATGTGATGAGATCTGGGCCTATTCAGACTGAGACTCTATTTTAGAAGTCATGTTGTGTAGTGTATTGTATTGTCAGCGTTCATTATGCATTAGGCATAATACAGAGAAGAGACTGCAACAGAATGTCGCCAACCTTTCGATCAGGAAGTTCAGCAGCTCAGCGGTTTAACCCGCTGCGCCACCCAAACGCTTGCCACGTTATTAAATAATGCAACACGACGCACACCTTTCTGCATTTTGGTCACTTTATTAAATGAGATATTAAATAGTATTTTTAAAGTTCCAACTACCAAACAGCACTTTGAAGGGTGAAAACACAGATAGCGAATCGTCATACTTGAATGCGTCCTCTTTTTTAAAAACACGTTTCCAGTCCTTAATATATATTTTACAAAACAGCCTCAGAGGAAGCAGTGACACCTTTCTCTACAGTACTTTTTAATGATATTTAATACATAGATGAAGGGGAAAAGAATGAGAAGAAGAAGCCGCCTAAACAGAAACAAGAGGCCAAGTCTTCACAGCTGTATGGTTTCGGGCAGCCAAAGCTGGTTCCGGGAAGGGACGGGGACTGAAACGGTACTATACAACTGGGACAAAAAACATGTACAGTATCACAATACTAAGCCCAAAACGCTTTACATCCAAAGAAAGAAACAGGTTACAAAAAGGTGGAGAATTTCGCAGGCAAAAAACTGTATAACAAGCAACATCTTTTTTGTTTTTTTTTCTCATTTCGTCGTCTTATATAAGCCGTTTCAACTAGGTAAAACATCTAAAACAAATATAAAAAATGAGTTTGTGGGTTATGTTACGGGTATGCTGCCGCTCTTCTGTCTTTAAATGCCGGTTAAAGCTCCATGTTATACTCAAAAAGCACGCGGTTATGCAGCGATAAGGTTACAGCGAGAGAGACGTGTATGCAAAATGGTCCAAGGTTTATTACTCCAATGCTTCTCGTGCTCCGAGGCGTCACCGGATGCTCTCAGTGAGAAGAAAAGAAATATATACGTCTTTGAAAATGTTGCCTAAAACTTCCACACTTTTAAAAGTCTCTGGAGTCGGGGAAATGCCACTCGAAATCCCAGCTCTGTTTGGAAAACGTAGGAATGTCCTGGGAGCTCCAGGCCTTGGTCTCAGGAAGACTCCCTTTCACGTGTCCTTTTCTGCAGCGAACACAACCCAGTCGGGAGTCCGTCCCTTGCTTCGCCCCAAAATAAAGAAACAGAGCTTGTTGCGTCACAGAAAACATCAAAAAGAAAAAAGGAATAACTCATGATTAAATGTCACACTACGCTCCTCTCCATCCTGAACCGACGAGTTTCAAAATAATGAACTGCTTCCCAACATTATCATTGTCTGGATGCCGACATTCGTTAGAAGGAGAAGGAAAAACCCCGTCCGTTCCTCTTTGGGAATCACTCATGTTTTGCCCTCCGTCCGGCTTTGGTTTTTCGGGATCCCCCAAATTCTTCTCCTAACTTCAAGACCTCAAAGGCACCTGTCGTTTTCCTTTTCTGCCCACATTCAGAAAAAAAAAACCAACCAAAAAATACAAAGCGTCTGTTCCGGAGACATGACATCAAAATGGCCAACTCGCCGCAAGAAATAGGCGACTATCCCACTTTTAACAATTACTTTGGGAGTTTAATTACTTAAGGGCTGGATCGGAAAGAGAAAACTGAGCTGTCCTTAAAAATAAACAAACGGGGGGAAAAAATCAGGATACTGTCAAAAGAGCGACCCTTTTGCAATGGCGGCTGAGGCGAATGCGCGCTCTTTACGACTCCGCTGTCTCACATTTCCCATCCGAACGATTACCGCGGTTCCAAGTCCAAAGGGGCCAGGGATCACCCGCCGGGAAGAGGAAGAGACGCTATAGCACCAGGAGAGAGGAAGTCCACACGGAGCGGGATGGTGACTCGGGGTCGGTCCCGTCGCTAAGATTAAACACGGGAAACGGCCAGAGGGAATGGCGTCTTCTTCGGCGGAGACTTTTAAGGCTGCAGGCACGGCCCTCGGGGTCGCAGAGTGGTAGCAGGAACGAATATTGCACTCCGTTCGAAGTCCAAGGTCTCTTCCCGGTTCCGACGGGTTTTATTTGGTTCCGTCGCGTCAGCCCGGCCCCGACTCACTTCGCATTTTCGTGAAAGAAGCCCCACAATTTGAGGAATCAACTCTAACCAAGAACTCGGCTGTGTCACATTCGAGGCGAAGTGACTTGAAATAGACAGACCTGTGTAACTTCTCGAAGCGCGTTTTCCCGTTTGGTGTGTTTCTTCTTTTTTTTATGGCTATTCACAGCAGGCGTGGTAAGTATTTGCTTAAGAGGAAGCCTGCGCAGCCCCGAAGGTTATAATAGGAGGACCTGTTTTCACTGAAAACAACTGGATGATCTCCTGTACGCAACACATGTAAGAAGATTCGAGGCAACGGCGCTGACAAAGGGCTGGGGGCGGAGACCGGGCGGGAAGAGGGCGGGAAGGGGGACAGGACATCTTACCCAAACAATCATCAACAATAGAATAGAGCCAGGGGGAGGAGGGGATGAAATCAACCCTACGGTTTATACAGTTGAGTTTCTGTGAAGCCATTGATTCCTAAAAAAATAAAAAGGTCATTTCTCTCTCCCGTGCCCGCCCGCCCACCCCCGTTTTCTGATTCAGAGCTCCTCTAGTGCAAAAGGGCGCCCGCCCGCCCGCCCGCTCACTTCCCTTGGGAGGTCCCGGGGTTCTTGCCGTCCAGCGAAGGGGTGCCCTGGAGCAACGGGGGCGGGTGCATGCCGCCCGCGGCCGCCGCGTGGTACATCCCCCGCATGTCGATCTGCTGGAAGTTGGAAGGGTTCATCATCAGTCCCGGGGGCTTCTGCATCATCAGGTGGCTCATGGCGGCCTGCTGGGCAACCTGCTGGAAGGAGAGCTGCTGCTGCTGCTGGCTGTACTGCTGCTGGAGGCGGCGGTTCATCAGGATCCGCTGGACGCAGCCGATGAGCTGGGGAGGAGGGAGCAACGAGAGTCAGGTCTCAGGGCCCTCCCCAGCCCCAGGATCTGCTGGGTTGGACACACTTGTGTCTATAGAATCCTAGAGTTGGAAGAGACCTCATGGGCCATCCAGTCCAACCCCATTCTGCCATTCTTTGAACTACTGACTCTAACAGGCTCCAGCCTATTCGCTCTCCTCAGGGCGACACTCTTCGGCCCACTGACTCTTAAAAGGCTTCTGCCTACTCACTCTCCTCTGGACGACACTAGCTTTGGCGCACTGACTCTAACAGGCTCCAGCCTACTCATTCTCCTCAGGATGACACTGTCTTTGGCCTACTGTCTCTCTAACAGGCTTCAACCTACTCACTCTCCTCCAGACGACACTGTCTTTGGACTACTGACTCTAACAGGCTCCAGCCTACTCATTCTCCTCAGGATGACACTGTCTTTGGCCTACTCTCTCTCTAACAGGCTTCGACCTACTCACTCTCCTCCAGACGACACTGTCTTTGCCCCACTGACTCTTAACAGGCTTTGGCCTACTCATTCTCAGCAGGACGACACTGTCTTTGGCCTACTCTCTCTCTAACAGGCTTCGACCTACTCACTCTCCTCCAGACAACACTAGCTCTCCTCCAGATGACACTGTCTTTGCCCCACTGACTCTTAACAGGCTTCGGCCTACTCATTCTCCACAGGAGGACACTTTCTATGGCCTACTGTCACTAACAGGCTTCGGCCTACTCACTCTCCTCAGGATGACACTAGCTTTGGCCCACTGACTCTAGCAGGCTTCGGCCTGCTCACTCTCCTCAGGACACTAGCTTTGGCTGACTCTAGCACGCTTTGGCCTACTCACTCTCTTCAGGGCGACACTAGCTTTGGCCTACTGTCTCTAACAGACTTCGGCCTACTCACTCTCCTCAGGGTGACACTAGCTTTGGCCCACTGTCTCTAACAGGCTTCGGCCTACTCACTCTCCTCAGGACACTAGCTTTGGCTGACTCTAGCACGCTTTGGCCTACTCACTCTCTTCAGGGCGACACTAGCTTTGGCCTACTGTCTCTAACAGACTTCGGCCTACTCACTCTCCTCAGGGTGACACTAGCTTTGGCCCACTGTCTCTAACAGGCTTCGGCCTACTCACTCTCCTCAGGACACTAGCTTTGGCTGACTCTAGCACGCTTTGGCCTACTCACTCTCTTCAGGGCGACACTAGCTTTGGCCTACTGTCTCTAACAGACTTCGGCCTACTCACTCTCCTCAGGGTGACACTAGCTTTGGCCCACTGTCTCTAACAGGCTTCGGCCTACTCACTCTCCTCAGGGTGACACTAGCTTTGGTCCACTGTCTCTAACAGGCTCCGGCCTACTCACTCTCCTCAGGACGACCCTGTCTTTCGCTCACTGACACAAACACACTCTAATAAATAGTGTAGTAAAATTGGGTTCAGATCCATCAAGAAGTGAAGTTCCATTCTCCGGAGGCTTTTAAGCAAGGGATGGATGGTCATCTGTTTGGAGGGCTTTCATTGTGTCCTCCTACTTGGCAGAAGGGGGTTGGACTGGATGGCCTTTGCGATCCCTTCCAACTCTAGGATCCTGTGATTCTATAGGAGGCTGTGGCATTATGCCCTACATCGACAAGACTTCCCCACCGATCCATGCAAACCGATGCGGTTCTGGGGCTCCCTTACCATTTGCTGCTTGGTCAAGACATCGTTGTAGATGGCCTCCCGGCGCTTGACGTCCAGCTCCTGGCTGGCTTGACGGCCGAGGGCCAAAGCCTGGACCTGGGCTTCCGACAGGGTCAAGTTCTTCTTCCACTGAAAACGGGCAAAGCACACACAGAGAAAGACCATCAACGAGAGGCCCCTTGTTTTGTTCACAAGCTTCCCTCTTTAAGACAACACAGTTCTGAACAGGGGTTGCCAAAGCGCACCCAAGAGACAGAGAGACAGAAAAAGAGAGGGAGGGAGGGGAGGGAGAAGGAAGGGAGAGGGAGAGAGGGGAAGGGAGGGAGGAAAGGAGGAAAGTAGGAAGGAGAGGGAGGGAGGGAAGAAGGGCAGGAGAGAGGAAAACGAGGGATAAGGAGAGGGAGGGAAAGGGAAGAGAAAGACAGAGGAGATGGGGAGGGAGGGAGAAGGAGGGGGAAGAGGAGGGAGGGAGAAGGAGGAAGAAGAGAGAGGGAGGAAAGAGAGGGAAGGAGGGAGAGGGAGAGGAAAGAGGGAGGGAGATGGAAGGAGGGAAAGAAGAGAGAGGGAGGGAAAGGGAGAGGAAGGGAAAGGGAGAGGGAGAAGAAGGGAGGGAGAGGGAGGGAGGGATAAGAAGAGAGAAGGAGGGAAAGCGAGAGGAATGGAGAGGGAGATGGGGAGGGAGGGAGAAGGAGGGGGAAGAAGGGAGAGAGGGAGAGGGAGGGAGGGATAAGAAGAGAGAGGGGGAAAGAGGGAGATGGGGAGTGGAGAGGGAGACTGGAGGATAAGGAGAAGGAGAGAAAGGGAGGGGAGGAGGGAGGAAGAGGGAGGGAGATGGAAGGAGGGATAAGAAGAGAGTGGGAGGGAAAGAGAGGGAGAGGGAGATGGAAGGAGGGATAAGAAGAGAGAGGGATGGAAAGGGAGATGGGGAGGGAGGGAGAGGGAGGGAGGAAAAGGGAGGGAGATGAAAGGAGGGATAAGAAGAGAGAGGGAGGGAAAAGAAGAAGAAGGGGAGGGAGATTGGGGGAGATGGAAGGAGGGATAAGAAGAGAGAGGGATGGAAAGGGATATGGGGAGGGAGGGAGATGAAAGGAAGGATAAGAAGAAAGAGGGAGGGGAAAAAGAGGGAGAGGGAGATGGGGAGGGAGAGGGAGGGAGACGGAAGGAGTGAGAAGAAGAGAGAGGGAGGGAAAGAGAGGGAGAGGAAGGGAGAGGGAGATGGGAAGAGGGAGGGAAATGGAAGGAGGAATAAGAAGAGAGTGGGAGGGAAAGAGAGGGAGATGGGGAGGGAGATGGAAGGATGGATAAGGAGAAGGAGGGAAAGGGAGATGGGGAGGGAGGGAGAGGGAGTGAGATGGAAGGAGTGAGAAGAAGAGAGAGGGAGGGAAAGAGAGGGAGAGAGGAAGGGAGAGGAAGGAGAATGAGAGAGAGGGGAAGGGAGATGGGGAGGAGAGGAAAGGAAGGAGGGGAAAGGAGAGAAAGGAAGAGAGAGGGGGTAGGGAGGGAAAGAGGGGGGAGATATACCTAAATTGATTGTATTTTTGGCAATTAATTAAGTGGCAGTTTCAATCCTGCTGCAGAAAGGAACGGAATGGGAGTGGACTACTGGTAGTTGAGCGCCAAGAGCCAGTCCTTGACGTGGACTAATGAAAGGGCAATGAGACCCTGCAGGGTCCATCCCTTGACTTACTATACTGGAAATGATGTCTTCAAGGGGCTGGATTCTGGCTCCAGTCACGTTGTTTGTGGCCTCCACGACTTTCTCCCGGCCTTGATTGATGAGATCCTAGAGAGAGGGGTTGAATCAATGAAGGCTCGAGGAACCGCAGTCTGAGCTGACCACAGGGACAACAAAATCCCATTTCCCCCTTGAATCCAAGCAGAACCTGCAGTCCCATCAATTCAGCCATACACATCGCACTTACCTCCAGCTGCTGGTTGCTCATGGCGGACAAGGCGGCCAGGTTGAAGGGGATGTACGACGCCTGGTTGTTGAAGTTGCCGTGGAAGGCATTTGCCCCGGGCGGCACGTTGAAGCGCATCGTCAGACCCTGAAAAAAGCCAAGAGCAGGGGGCATTCTTGTGGGGCAAGTTGGCTCATAAATGCACAGCAAATTAACTTATCAGCAGCAACAAGGTTTCCATAGCACAAATAAACAAATACACAGCAGCCTTCACATTGGAGGCTTTCTCACATGAGGCTTCTCTCATACCGGACCTCTCACTCTGAGGCCTACCTCACAGACTAAGACCTACATAACACTGTGAGGCTTCTCTCATACCAGACCTCTCACACTGAGGCCTACCTCACAGACTACCTAAAACTGTGAGGCTTCTCTCATACCAGGCCTCTCACACTGAGGCCTACCTCACAGACTAAGACCTACCTAACACTGTGAGGCTTCTCTCATACTAGGCCTCTCACACTGAGGCCTACCTCACAGGCTAAGACCTACCTAACACTGTGAGGCTTCTCTCATACCAGGCCTCTCACACTGAGGCCTACCTCACAGACTAAGGCCTACCTAACACTGTGAGGCTTCTCTCATACCAGACCTCTCACATTGAGGACTACCTCACAGACTACCTAACACCGTGAGGCTTCTCTCATACCAGCCTCTCACACTGAGGCCTACCTCACAGACTAAGGCCTACCTGTGAGGCTTCTCTCATACCAGGCCTCTCACACTGAGGCCTACCTAACACTGTGAGGCTTCTCTCATACCAGACCTCTCACACTGAGGCCTACCTCACAGACTAAGACCTACCTAACATTGTGAGGCATCTCACACTCTAAGGCCTGCCTCACACTATGAAGCCTTCTCACAGACTGAGCCTTTCTCCCACTGAGGTTTAACTCAGACTGATGTCTCTTCATACTGAGGGCAACTAACACTGAGGGAACTAAGCTACAGGCACACCTACTTATATTGAACGGCAGCATTTGCTGAGTCATTGCATCCATTTAGCCCTTTCAGTGCTTGACTCGCATTTTTGTAATTAAAAATACCTAGTTAATATTTAATATTTCTGACAATTCTGAGCACCCAACCCTAAACATGGGAACCACGTTTAAATATTGGGAAGGAGGACCTAAGAAAGAGGGTTTGCCTGGGCCTGAGTTAAGCTCAGAGGAGAGGCCCAAGCTGTCTCAGGAAGATTCACAAGGCCACATTCCTGGGAGAGGCCCTTCACAGTCTTTCTCAGAGCAACTGTCAAGTGCAGAAGTTAATGAGAGTCAAGTTAATGAGAGTGTAGATAGAAAGCGAGGCTTTTGTAAACAGAGACAGAGTGCTCAGGCGCAAAGAAGATCAGTTTTCTTACAGGAAAAGAGAGATAAGAAACCTTTATCTGATGGTAAGGTCAAGAAAAATGCTTTCTTTTCGGTTTTAGGATCCGGAAAAGCCTTGTATTGATTCAGAGGAAAGAGTTGCCTCAGTTGGGTCAACGTTGGAATTTCATGATGGTCTTGCTTTGAAGTGTTCTGAGTTTCATGTATCAAGTTTTTGCCAAGCTCCTGATTTGTATATTGGATTTTTCGTGCTGCATTGTTTCATGGATTGCTGTTCCCATGGATATCGTATTTTTTCCTTGAAGCTCATGGACTAACTTTTGTTTTCGAATCATAGAATCATAGAGTTGGAAGAGACCTCAGGGGCCATCCAATCCAACCCCCTGCCAAGAAACAGGAAAATTGTATTCCAAGCACCCCCGACAGATGGCCATCCAGCCTCTGTTTAAAAGCTTCCAAAGAATCCACCACACTCCAGGGCAGAGAGTTCCACTGCTGAACGGCTCTCACAGTCAGGAAGTTCTTCCTCATGTTCAGATGGAATCTCCTTTCTTGTAGTTTGAAGCCATTGTTCCATTGCGTCCTAGTCTCCAGGGAAGCAGAAAACAAGCTTGCTCCCTTCTCTCTCTGACTTCCTCTCATGTATTTATACAAGGCTATCATATCTCCTCTCGGCCTTCTCTTCTTCAGGCTAAACATGCCCAGCTCTTTAAGCCGCTCCTCATAGGGCTTGTTCTCCAGACCCTTGTTCATTTTACTCGCCCTCCTCTGGACACATTCCAGCTTGTCAATATCTCTCTTCAGAATTGGACACAGTATTCCAGGGTTCTGAGTTTCGTGTATCAAGTTTTGCCAAGCTCCTGATTTGTGTATTGTTGAAGGCTTTCATGGCCGGAATCACTGGGTTGTTGTAGGTTTTTTCGGGCTGTATGGCCATGGTCTAGAGGCATTCTCTCCTGACCTTTCGCCTGCATCTATGGCAAATATCCTCAGAGGATAGATGCTTGCCATAGATGCAGGCGAAACGTCAGGAGAGAATGCCTCTAGACCATGGCCATACAGCCCAAAAAAACCTACAACAACCCTGTGTATTGGATTATTCATGCTGCCTTGTTTCATGGATTGTTGTTCCCATGGATATCTTATTTTGCCTTAAAGCTCATGGACTAACTTTTGTTTTGGAACGTCACTGTTTCTCCTAATTTTACTGCTTTGCCTACATCTATTCTTCAATAAACTGCTTGCTGATTTTACCAAGCTGGTGTGGTGTTGAAGGTCAGAGGCGTTCTTGCTCTGGTGTATGACACAAAGTGGCATCGGCTCCCAAAGGCCAGGAAGGGACTGTGTAGCTCCTCTGACCGCTTCTCATGGTGTTCCCGTATCTCCCAAGTGGAGCCGTTTTCCTCCTTCGCAAGTGTCAGTGCAAAACACTCCCACGGGTCGTTTTTGGTCCGCTTCCACTCATCCTTCGCACGCTTAGTTTAAAGTGCCAGAATGAGCCTTTTTTTGTTGTTTTGTTTCTGGCAAAGAGCAAGGAGTTCTTTTGGTGACTTACAGATGTGAAACCCATTAAATGTGCGAAATCACAGTAACTGACTCAACATGGCATATCCACAGAAAAGCGATGTAAACACTCCCTTTTTGCTTGGGATTTCGTTCCAAAAGGCTGCCTATGGAGCAAGGATTTCTCAGCCAACTTTCTGACAAGTGAGACCAGAGAATGGATTTGAAATCGTGGTGGAAACAGCCAAGAGTTCCTTGCATTGGACTGAATTCCACAAAGATGTTTTCTAATAAAGGCTTTTTAAAAATTCCATGCCGTCTGCAAATGCCTGCCAAGGAGAAGTGCTTCCCTGTCCACAAACCCTGAGCATAAACAGGAGGGATCAGCGTTCCTCCGTGCGCCTTTCGACTGCAAGTCCCATCAGCCACAGTCAACATGGCCCAATATTTTGGAGGATGGAGAGGCGCATTTTAACTTGTGCCTCTTTATTGAAGAACAAAGAAAGAAAACAATATAGAAAATAATATAGAAAAATCAAACAAAGTGAAGACCTTGACAGTTGGGAGTTGTAGTTCTTGGGATTTATAGTTCACCTACAATCAAAGAGCATTCTGAAGCCCACCAATGACAGAATTGTGGCAAACATCCCACACAGAACCCCTATGACCAATAGGAAATACTTAAGGCCACCCAGTCCAACTCCCTTCACCAGGGCAAGAAAACATCATCAAAGCCCTCCTGACAAAGAGCCATCCAGCCATAGATAATATAGATAGGTATATATGATTCACACACAGAGAAATATAGTATCATATATTTGAAAGGGACTCTTAAAGAAGGAGAATGATGTGTTGCATGTTCCTACAACAACCCTATTATTATTATTATTATTATTATTATTATTATTATTATTATTATTATTATTATTATTATAATAAAAAGACATCTAGTGGCCGAAGATGGTATGACATCCTCTGCAGCATTTAAATAAATTCTTCTTCTTCTTCTTCTTCTTCTTATTATTATTATTATTATTATTATTATTATTATTATAAAAATACATCTAGTGGCCAAAGATGGTATGACATCCTCTGCAGCATTTAAAATAATAATAATAATAATTATTGTTGTTATTATTATTTAAAAAAAATCTAGTGGCCGAAGATGGTATGTCATCCTCTGCAGCATTTAAAATAAATTATTATTATTATTGTTATTATTACTATTATAAAAAAGACATCTAGTGGCCGAAGATGGTATGTCATCCTCTGCAGCATTTAAAATAAATAATAATAATAATAATAATAATAATAATTATTATTAGTATTATAAAAAAAGACATCTAGTGGCCGAAGATGGTATGACATCCTCTGCAGCATTTAAAATAAATTATTATTATTATTACTATTATAAAAAAGACATCTAGTGGCCGAAGATGGTAGGACATCCTCTGCAGCATTTAAAATAAATTATTATTATTATTACTATTATAAAAAAGACATCTAGTGGCCGAAGATGGTATGACATCCTCTGCAGCATTTAAAATAAATTATTATTATTATTACTATTATAAAAAAGACATCTAGTGGCCGAAGATGGTAGGACATCCTCTGCAGCATTTAAAATAAATTATTATTATTATTACTATTATAAAAAAGACATCTAGTGGCCGAAGATGGTATGACATCCTCTGCAGCATTTAAAATAAATTATTATTATTATTACTATTATAAAAAAGACATCTAGTGGCCGAAGATGGTAGGACATCCTCTGCAGCATTTAAAATAAATTATTATTATTATTACTATTATAAAAAAGACATCTAGTGGCCGAAGATGGTATGACATCCTCTGCAGCATTTAAAATAAATTATTATTATTATTACTATTATAAAAAAGACATCTAGTGGCCGAAGATGGTAGGACATCCTCTGCAGCACTTAAAATAAATTCTTCTTCTTCTTCTCCTTCTCCTTCTTCTTCTTCTTATTATTATAAAAATACATCTAGTGGCCAAAGATGGTATGACATCCTCTGCAGCATTTAAAATAATAATAATAATAATTATTGTTGTTATTATTATTAAAAAAAAATCTAGTGGCCGAAGATGGTATGTCATCCTCTGCAGCATTTAAAATAAATTATTATTATTATTGTTATTATTACTATTATAAAAAAGACATCTAGTGGCCGAAGATGGTATGTCATCCTCTGCAGCATTTAAAATAAATAATAATAATAATAATTATTATTATTATTATTATTAGTATTATAAAAAAAGACATCTAGTGGCCGAAGATGGTATGACATCCTCTGGAGCATTTAAAATAAATTATTATTATTATTATTATTATTATTATTATTATTATTATTATAAAAAAAGACATCTAGTGGCTGAAGATGGTATGACATCCTCTGGAGCATTTAAAATAAATTATTATTATTATTATTATTATTATTATTATAAAAAAAGACATCTAGTGGCCGAAGATGGTATGCCATCCTCTGCAGCATTTAAAATAATAATTATTATAATTATTATCGTTATAAAAATACATCTAGTGGCCGAAGATGGTATGTCATCCTCTGGAGCATTTAAAATAAATTATTACTATTATTATTATTATTATTATTATTATTATTATTATTATAAAAAGACATCTAGTGGCCGAAAATGGTATGTCATCCTCTGCAGCATTTAAAATAAATAATAATAATAATAATAATAATAATTGTTATTGTTATTGTTATTATTATTATTATTATTATTATAGAAAAAGACATCTAGTGGCGGAAGATGGTATGACATCCTCTGGAGCAGTGGTTCTCAACCTGGGGTCCCCAGATGTTTTTGGCCTTCAACTCCCAGAAATCCTAACAGCTTCTAAACTGGCTGGGGTTTCTGGGAATTGTAGGACAAAAACATCCAGAGTAGGCAAACCAGACAATCTCTATATCAACACTGACAATGAAACAACAAGAAATACTGTTTATCCACAAGCAGAAAGACATTACATATATTAGAAATCAACACCTTCTCATTACTTTCCAGATCAACAGACTGGGCAACAGCAACACGTGGCAGGAGACGGCTAGTAAATAATAATAATAATAATAATAATAATAATAATAATAATTACTACTACTACTACTATATTGGGATGGCCTTGGTCCCTTGGCTAATTTGGTTCATTTTTGGGATGCTGCTGTGACAGAGCTGTGCCCCTCTAGCCGTGAAAGGGCCCCTACCTTCTTTTCGGCTTCATACTCGGCCCAGGCGGCCTTCCGCTCCTCTTCGGTCAGCTCCTCCTCCTCCTTGTGGTCCAGGAGTGAGTCGTGTTCATGGTAGCCCACGATGTGTTCCTTGTGGATCTGGAGCAGCTCCGCCAGAATCGTGTCCTGAGGAACAAGAACGGGAATGATCCATGAGAAGCCACCAGAGCTCTCTTAAGGCCAACGACTGAAATCCCCAGGTTCCCCGAGGAGTAGCTCATCATGGAGGGGATATGGAAAACAGAGGCGGGAAGGCCGTTTGTCCCCTCAACACTCCCATTTCCTGGGTCAGGATTTTAGTGAGCATATTACTATAAGATACCGTTGGGCAGACCTGAAGTCACATCTCTTTATCAAAGCAAGTGGCAAAAGGCAAAAGTATTTTTTTGGGGGGTGGGGGGTGGGGAGAGAACTGGAATGGTACTACTGAAGATGGTATGACATCCTCTGGAGCATTTAAAATAAATGATTATTATTATAACAAAAAAGACATCTAGTGGTCGAAGATGGTATGACATCCTCTGGAGCATTTAAAATAAATTATTATTATTATTATTATTATTATTATTATTATTATTATTATTATTAAAAGACATGTAGTGGCCAAAGATGGTATGACATCCTCTGGAGGATTTAAAATAAATGATTATTATTATAATTAAAAAAGACATCTAGTGGCCAAAAACGGTATGACATCCTCTGCAGCATTGAAAATAAATTATTATTATTATTATTATTATTATTATCATTATTATTATAAAAAGATATCTAGTGGCCAAAGATGGTATGATATCCTCTGCAACATTTAAAATAAATAAATAAATAAATTATTATTATTATTATTATTATTATTATTATAAAAAGACATCTAGCGGCCAAAGATGGTATGACATCCTCTGCAGCATTGAAAATAAATTATTATTATTATTATTATTATTATTATTATTATTATTATTATAAAAAAAAGACATCTAGTGGCCGAAGATAGTATGATATCCTCTGCAACATTTAAAATAAATTAGTATTATTATTGTTATTATTATTACTATTATAAAAAAGACATCTAGTGACCGAAGATGGTATGACATCCTCTGATGTTCTTGGCCTTCAACTCCCAGAACCATAGAATCAAAGAGTTGAAAGAGACCTCATGGGCCATCCAGTCCAACCCCCTGCCAAGAAGCAGGAATATTGCATTTAAATCACCCCTGACAGATGGCCATCCAGCCTCTGTTTAAAAACTTCCAAAGAAGGAGCCTCCACCACACTCCGGGGCAGAGAGTTCCACTGCTGAATCCTAACAGCTGCTAAACTGGCTGGGATTTCTGGGAATTGTAGGCCAAAAACATCTGGGGACCCCCAGGTTGAGAACCACTGCTCTGGAGCATTTAAATAATAATAATAATAATAATAATAATAATAATAATAATAATAGTTATTATTATTATTATTATTTTAAAAAACTGGAATGGTACTACTGTATATACTCAAGTATAAGCCAATAGAAGACCTGGCTGTTCCGATGTGCCTTTCCCGATTAGGAAATCTCCAATACCAAGTCCCAGAAGCACTTTATTAGAATTAAGATTGCCGCACACTGCACACTGCACTTGCCCTATAATCCCCACATATCACCTCTCACATCAGCACTTTTTAATCCTGTACCCTTTACTCTGGCCCGGCCTAGTTTTATCCTGGTTGATGTATTGTTTACTGCTTGAGGTTTTGTTGTTTTAATACTGCTTTAATTGTTTTATTTGCTTTAAGTGTACTGTTATGTTGTGTATTGAGGCCTTGGCCTTTGTAAGCCGCATTGAGTCCTTCAGGAGATGCTAGCGGGTACAAATAAAGTTTAATAATATAAATATAAGCCGGGGGACCTAATTTAGAAAGCTCGAGTCAAGGCAGTATAAAACCTCATCTCCACGCACAGGAGGCAGTTGTGAGGCTCCACGGGCAAATTTTACACAAGAGAGGAGCCACATATCCATCACTCACTTTGGGCAGCATCGGCGTGTCCCTCTTCTTCTTCTTCTCCTCGGAGTTGGGGTCATCCAGCAAGTCCGGCTCAAAGGCGTAGAGCTCGGTGAGTTCGTTCATGGTGAAGTGCCGCTCCACCTGCTGCTGGTCTACCACCCGGAAAGAGAGCGACTGCTTGGTCACCTGCCGGTCGTAGATCTTGTCCTCCATCGTTCCCTGAGAAGCAACACACAGAGCTCGGGTTTGGGGACATCTCTTGTCAAGGCCGGGCCCGGAAAAGGACAAGGAGAGCCAAGGGCCAGCCCAACCCATTTGTGGAGCATAACATCCGAAACGGAGTGCCTATCCGAATGGGCGTTTTGTTTAGCGTCTGAAAGAATGAACATTTTCAGACTTTACAATCCTTCCCAGGCTCCCTTTACCCTCAGTTTTAGGGCTAAAGGGGTGAAAATGGCCACACATGGGGAGCATATCTACCACTCTTTGCCCACCAAGGCACATCTACCACTCTTTGCCCACCAAGTTTTATAAAGTTTGTAAACTGTCATGTAAATATAACAATACTAATCGAGTAAAATAATGTAAATGTAATAATAATAATCTATATAAATAAAAATGTAATGTTCGTTTGTGATATTCACAGAACTCAGAAACTACTGGGGCAATTGACACCAAATTTGGACACTAACAACCCAATGTATGTTCTCCAAAGTTGAGGGGCCACCACAGAGAAGGCCCTGTCCCTCGTCCCCACCAAACGCGCCTGCGACGCAGGTGGGATCGCGAGCAGGGCCTCTCCGTATGAACGAAGGGAGCGCGTGGGTTCATAGACGGAGATGCGGTCATGCAGGTAGGCAGGTCCCAAACCATTTAGGGCTTTGTAGGTAAGCATCTGCACCTTGAATTGAGTTCGGTAGGTAAACGGCAGCCAGTGGAGCTCCTTAAACAGGAGGGTTGACCTCTCTCTGTAAGGAGCACCAGTTAACATCCTGGCCGCCCGCCGTTGGACCATCTGGAATTTCCGAGCCATTTTCAAAGGCAGCCCCACATAGAGCGCATTACAGTAGTCCAATCTAGAGGTGACCAAGGCATGGACCACCCCGGCCAAATCAACCTTTGCGAGGTACGGTCGCAGCTGGCGCACAAGTCTTAGTTGCGCAAAAGCCCTCCCGGACACCGCCGATGCCTGAGCCTCAAGCGTAAGCGATTAATCCAAGAGGACTCCCAAACTGCGGAACTGTGACTTCAGGGGGAGTGCAACCCCATCCAGCACAGGTTGCCATCCTATACCCCGATCCGGTTTACGATCGACCAGGAGGACCTCTGTCTTGTCAGGATTGATCTTCAGCTTGTTCTTCCTCATCCATTAATTGTGGTTTAATGTCTGATTTTATGCTGCTGTGTCATTTACTTATATCGGTTTTGCATTTTATGTACTTTATTTTCTGACTTTTGTTGTGTTTTTGTGTTTATATTGTGTTCCACTGTATTGATGGGCGTGGCGTTACGTAAGCAAGTCGCTTCTGGTGTGAGAGAATTTCAGCCAAAATGCACAAACCTAGTGTCCTAGAATATTTCATGGCTGGAAAATGGTAGTTCTGACCTACCTGAGCCAAGAAGCGGTACACAAACACGGGTTTGTTCTGCCCGAAGCGATAAACCCGGAATATGCTCTGGATGTCGTAGGAGGGATTCCAGGAAGCATCGAAAATGATGACTCTGTTGGCAGCCACCAGGTTTATCCCAAGGGAGCCTGCTTTCGTGGAGATAATAAACAAGCGGCCTCTGCAAAAAGCAACAAGAAACGTGATTCGGCTTAGGCTTCTCCCACATCAATATGCAAGAGCCACTTCTTGATCCACCAAGTTACAAATAAACTTTGAAAAGTTCACACACTCTCGTTTGTCACAGCAGTAAAGGAACACCACCATCATCATCAGCACCATGACAATAATCTCAATCAACATCGAAGGCATGTCAGCTCCCAAAGAGCAATTGCTCTATGAACTCTGCCGAGATAAGAAATGCGATGTGCTGTGTGTCCAAGAAACACACAGGGATGAACGACAGAAACGACCCAAAGTTCCAGGAATGATCCTAGTAGCGGAAAGACCACATGCGCAGTATGGAAGCGCCGTCTTTGTCAAACCAGGCCTCCAAGCATGCCAACGACTTAAATCTAGACATAGTTTTCTAAGATCTACAGAGACACTCGCTGGAACACCTCAGCAAGCGAGAGTCCAAAAGTGGCTGGCTCAAACCCAGCACCTCAACCAATGGCTGATACCAAATGAGAGACTCCCTCCTGGGCACACAGAAGACTGGGCGACTTGGAAGGCACTGAACAGACTGCGCTCTGGCACCACGAGATGCAGAGCCAACCTTCAGAAATGGGGCTACAAAGTGGAATCCTCGACATGCGAGTGTGGAGAAGAGCAAACCACTGACCACCTGCTGCAATGCAACCTGAGCCCTGCCACATGCACAATGGAGGACCTTCTTGCAGCAACACCAGCACTCCAAGTGGCCAGATACTGGTCAAAGGACATTTAACCAACTACCAAGCTCACAAGTTTTGTATTTTTCTGTTTGTTTGCTTTGTTCTGTTAGAAATGTAATATAATGGACTGGTTGCTCTGACACGACAAAAAAAACCAACCCTGTATTGTTATTTTGCATAGAATTACAGAAAAAACAGACTCATGTATGATTCCACAGCAAGCTGGTTTTAGGAAAGGCAGAAGCTGCACATCAGAAGTGTTGAACCTGACTCTGCACATAGAAGATGGTTTTGAAAGGCAGCAGATTCCAGGAACTTTCTTATGATACTGCAAATCATTGCCTACTCCTGAGAAAAGTTATTAATACCACAAAGGACAACCACCTCACCCGCCTCATAGGAAATCTGCTACAAAACAGGAGCTTTTATGTTGAGTTCCAGGGCCAGAGAAGCAGATTTATTTGCCGCCCTTCTCACCCCGAAGGAGACTCAGAGGGGCTTACAAGATATCTATATAAATAAAAATGTATTGTTTGTTTGTGGGATCAACAACTAAAAAACCACTGGATGAATTGACACGAAATTTGGACACAACACACCTAACAGTCCAACAAGTGTCCATCACCCATAAACACAAACACACACACATCTATATTAAGGGACTAGCCATCCCCTGCCACGCATTGCTGTGGTCCACTCTGGTGGTTATGGGGAGGTTTGGCCCAATTCCATCGTTGGTGGAGTTCAGAATGCTCTGTGATTGTAGGTGAACTATAAATCCCAGCAACTACATCTCCCAAATGTCAAGATTCTATTTTCCCCAAACTCCACCAGTGTTCACATTTCGGCATATTGAGTATCCGTGCCAAGTTTGGTCCAGATCCATCATGCTGTCCTCTCTGGATGTAGGTGAACCACAATTCCCAAACTCAGGGTCCATTCCCACCAAACCTTTCCAGTATTTTCTGTTGGTCATGGGAGAACTGTGTGCTAAGTTTGGTTCAATTCCATCGTTGGTGGGGTTCAGAATGCTCTTTGATTTTAGGTGAATTATAAATCCCAGCAACTACAACTTCCACATGGCAAAATCATTTTTTTTGAGTGAAGGACATACATTGGGTTGTTAGGTGTCTTATGTCCAAATTTGGTGTCAATTTGTCCAGTGGGTTTTGAGTTCTGTTAATCCCACAAACGAACATTACATTTTTATTTATATAGACTAGCTGTACCTGCCACGCGTTGCTGTGGCCAACCTTCCCTCTTTCTCTTTCTTTCCCTCCTTCCTTCACTCCCTCTTTCCTTCATTCCTTCCCGTCTTTCCTTCTCTTCTTCCTTCCTTATCTCTTTCCTTCTTTCGTCTTTTTTCTTTCTCTTCTGCTGTCTCTTTTCTTCCTTCTCTCTTTCCTTCTTTCCTGCCTTCCCTCTTTCTCTACATCTTCCCCCTTCCTTCACTCCCTCTTTCCTTCATTCCTTCCCGTCTTTCCTTCTCTTCTTCCTTCCTTATCTCTTTCCTTCTTTCGTCTTTTTTCTTTCTCTTCTGCTGTCTCTTTTCTTCCTTCTCTCTTTCCTTCTTTCCTGCCTTCCCTCTTTCTCTACATCTTCCCCCTTCCTTCACTCCCTCTTTCCTTCATTCCTTCCCGTCTTTCCTTCTCTTCTTCCTTCCTTCTCTATCTCTTTCCTTCCTTTCCCCTTTTTCTTTCTCTTCTGCTGTCTCTCTTTTCTTCCTTCTCTCTTTCCTTCTTTCCTGCCTTCCCTCTTTCTCTACATCTTCCCCCTTCCTTCACTCCCTCTTTCCTTCATTCCTTCCCGTCTTTCCTTCTCTTCTTCCTTCCTTCTCTATCTCTTTCCTTCCTTTCCCCTTTTTCTTTCTCTTCTGCTGTCTCTCTTTTCTTCTTCCTGCCTTCCCTCTTTCTCTACATCTTCCCCCTTCCTTCACTCCCTCTTTCCTTCATTCCTTCCCGTCTTTCCTTCTCTTCTTCCTTCCTTCTCTATCTCTTTCCTTCCTTTCCCCTTTTTCTTTCTCTTCTGCTGTCTCTCTTTTCTTCCTTCTCTCTTTCCTTCTTTCCTGCCTTCCCTCTTTCTCTACATCTTCCCCCTTCCTTCACTCCCTCTTTCCTTCATTCCTTCCCGTCTTTCCTTCTCTTCTTCCTTCCTTCTCTATCTCTTTCCTTCCTTTCCCCTTTTTCTTTCTCTTCTGCTGTCTCTCTTTTCTTCCTTCTCTCTTTCCTTCTTTCCTGCCTTCCCTCTTTCTCTACATCTTCCCCCTTCCTTCACTCCCTCTTTCCTTCATTCCTTCCCGTCTTTCCTTCTCTTCTTCCTTCCTTCTCTATCTCTTTCCTTCTTCCCCCTTTTTTCTTTCTCTTCCTTCTCTCTTTTCTCTTCTCTCTTCCTCTTTCCCTCTTCTCTTCTTCCTTCCTTCCTTCCTTCCTTCCTTCCTTCCTTCCTTCCGTCTTTCCTTCTCTTCTTCCTTCCTTCTCTATCTCTTTCCTTCCTTCCCCCTTTTTTCTTTCTCTTCTGCTGTCTCTTTTCTTCTCTTTCCTTCTTTCCTTCCCTCCCTCTTTCTTTACATCTTCCCCTTCCTTCGCTCCCTCTTTCCTTCCTTCTTTCCCTTCTTTACTTCCTTCCTTCTCTAACTTCCCTTCCTTCCCTCTTTTTCTTTCTCTCCTTCTTTACTTCCTTCCTTCCTTCCTTTTCTCTTTGCTTCCATGCTTCCTTCTCCCTTTCCTTCTTTCTTCCCCTCACTCTTTCTTTCTTTCTTTCTTTCTTTCTTTTTTCTCCCCCCTTCCCTCCCTCTTTCTTCCCTTTTTTCTGTATTGTCATTTAGCTTTTCGTCTTTTAGCTTTTGGGGGGCTTTTAAGTCCCTTTTGCTGTGTTTTTCAGTGTTTTTATGAGTTTATTGGGTTGTTAGGCGTCTTGTGTCCAAATTTGGTGTCAATTCGTCCAGTGGTCTTTGAGTTCTGTTAATCCCACAAACAGACATTACCTTTTAATTTATATAGATAAGTAAAAGCATCTAAGTAAAAAGCACTTTAAAGGAATAGGTAAATCCAATTAGGTAAGAAGATAAGCATGAATATTGTAATGTATTTTCTTTTTTTTGGCTTTTGAAGTTTCTTCCGCTGTGTTTTTTGGTGTTTTTTTGAGTGAAGGACATACATTGGGTTGTTAGGTGTCTTGTGTCCAAATTTGGTGTCAATTCGTCCAGTGGTTTTTGAGTTCTGTTAATCCCACAAACGAACATTACATTTTTATTTATATAGATAGGCGAAGCTTGCTTCAAGAGACCTGCTTTGCTTATTTGCAAATGACATTACAAAGTGTGAAAAATATGAAAGTCTGCGGGGTCTCGCCGCTTACGGGTCACACAAAAAAACATGGTTTTTTACCTGACGTTCGTCACGTCGTTGAACTCCTCGGCCCACTTCTTTCTGGACTGAGCCGTCGTGGAGCCGTCCAAACGGTAGTAATCGATGTTCCTGAACCACTTCCCTTCCCCTAGGAGGGCAAAAGGCAAGCAGGTTTCCACAAGATTGTATCTCAAAACAGATTTCAAATAGAATAACACTACAAAGCCCCCCCCCCCCTTCCCGGTTAAAACACTGAGCTGCTGAACTTGCTGACAGAAAGATTGGTGGTTCGAATCTGGGGAGCGGGGTGAGCTCCCGCTGTTAGCCCCAGCTTCTGCCAACCTAGCAGTTCAAAAAATGCAAATGTGAGTAGATCAATAGGTACGACTTATTCAATACATATATGTTTGGCTGCCTTTTGTAAGGCCGCCTTGAAAAAAGCGGGATACAAATATAGTAAATAATAAATATTAATATATTAAATATTATTATATTATATAAATATTATTATATTATATTACTATATTAGTGTTTGTTGTATTCTTATATAGTTATATTATTGTATTATATGAGGAGCATATTATTATTATATTATAATCCGACTCTTTGTGACCTCATTATATATTATATTATATAATTATATTACATAATGAGGTATATATTACCTCTTTATTTATTTATTTATTTCCTATATTTATACCCCACCCTTCTTCCCCCGAAAGGGAGAATTATATATTACTATTTTGTCCTATACCATTATACTGCAATATTATCAGTAATATTACATGTAATATATAATATACAATTATTATATTGTATTACTATTATATTGTATTACGTTTTATTACTATCAATATTATATGTATTTACAATATTAGTATCGCACAGTATTAGTATCATATATTACTATATCGTACGATACCGCTATACTGCAATATTATTAGTAATATTATATGTAATATGTAATTAATATATTGTATTATTATTACAATTAGATCGTATTACATTATATCATTATTAATATTACAATTTAATATTACGATAATTTAATATTACGATACCATAATACTGCAATATTATTATATAGTATTACTATTATATTGTATTACATTACATATCAATATTATATGTATATACAATATTATTAGCATAGCACAGTGTTAGTACTATATATTACTACATCATACGATACCACTATACTGCAATATTATTAATAATATTATATGTAATATGTAATAATTATATTGTATTATTATTACAAATAGATCATATTTCATTATAATATCATTATCAATATTACAATTTAATATTACGATAATTTAATATTACGATATTACAATACCATAATACTGCAAAATTATCAGTAATATTACTTGTAATACATAATATACAATTATTATATAGTATTACTATTATATTGTATTACATTATATTACTATCAATATTATATGTATATACAATATTATTAGCATAGCACAGTATTAGTATTATATATTACTATATCGTACTATACCACTATACTGCAATAGTATTAGTAGTATGACATGTAATATATCATTATTATATTGTATTATTATTATTATTATTATTATTATTATTACTATTAGATCGTATTTCATTATAATATCAATATTACAATTTAATATTACGATAATTTAATATTGCATGTAATATTACTGATAATATTGCAGTATAATGGTATTGTAATATTATATGGTAATATATTGTATTACTATTACATTATATTACTATCAATATTATATGTATATACAATATTATTAGCATAGCACAGTATTAGTATTATATATTACTATATCATACTATACCACTATACTGCAATAGTATTCATAATATTACATGTAATATTTAATATACAATTATTATATTGTATATACAGTATTATTAGCATAGCACAGTATTACTATATATTACTATATCGTACGACACCACTATACCGCAAAATTATTCATAATATTACATGTAATTTATAATTATTATATCGTATTATTACTATTAGATCGTATTTCATTATAATATCATTATCAATATTACAATTTAATATTACGATAACATTACAATACCATTATACTGCAATATTATCAGTAATATTACTTGTAATATATAATATACAATTATTATATTGTTTTACATTATATTACTATCAATATTATATGTATACACAATATTATTAGCATAGCACAGCATTAATATTATATATTACTATATCGTACGATACCACTATACTGCAATATTATTCGTAATATTACATGTAATATATAATTATTATATTGTATTATTATTACTATTAGATCATTTTTCAGTATAATATCATTATCAATTTTACAATTTAATATTACAATACAATTTAGAACCTGAAAAACATGCAAACATGAAAACATAATTAAATATCAATGGTATTAAACCCTGAAACCCAATCTAAAAACATCATACAGCATTAAAGTGAGTGAGTGGGAAAGGCAGGGAGGAAAGACCTCAAGGTCTCCAAAGCTATGCTGACCTTTATATATTACAGGTTTGCCTTCTTCTTTGTCCTGATTGGCGAGCTCCAGGAAGTCCTCTATCAGGTCCAAGGAAATGAGGGACTGGCTGAAGACTAAACTGGAAAGGAGAGGAAAAGTAAAGCGGCGTCAGTGGAGGACAGAGGGAAACTGGGACTCATAGAATCAAAGAGTTGGGAGAGACCTCCTGGGCCATCATCCAGTCCAACCCCGCTCTGCCAAGAAGCAGGAATATTGCATTCAAAGCACCCCTGACAGATGGCCATCCAGCCTCTGTTTCAAAGCCTCCAAAGAAGGAGCCTCCACCACACTCCGGGGCAGAGAGTTCCACTGCTGAACAGCTCTCACAGTCAGGAAGTTCTTCCTCAGGTTCTTGTAGTTTGAAGCCATTGTTCCGCGTCCTAGTCTCCAGGGAAGCAGAAAACAAGCTTGCTCCCTCCTCCCTGTGGCTTCCTCTCACATATTTATACATGGCTATCATATCTCCTCTCAGCCTTCTTTTCTTCAGGCTAAACATGCCCAGCTCCTTAAGCCGCTCCTCATAGGGCTTGTTCTCCAGACCCTTGATCATTTTAGTCGCCCTCCTCTGGACACATTCCAGCTTGTCAATATCTCTCTTGAATTGTGGTGCCCAGAATTGGACACAATATTCCAGGTAAAGTGGTCTAACCAAAGCGGAATAGAGCATGGGGAGCATGATTTCCCTAGATCTAGACACTAGGCTCCTATTGATGCAGGCCAAAATCCCATTGGCTTTTTTTGCCGCCACATCACATTCCTGGCTCATGTTTAACTTGTTGTCCACGAGGACTCCAAGATCTTTTTGAGTCCAGGTTCCCTTGATTCTTATCCAGATGCTTTCAAGCTGGTTTCCCGGATTGTTCTCTTGCATCTCTTCTGCAGCGTAACAGTTATTGACATATAAGGCTACTCCGCCTCCTCTCCCCTTTGTTCAGTTTCTGTGAAAGAGGTTGACGTGCTGGCTGATACCCAAACATGTCCTGCTCTCAAGCCAGGCATGTCCCCCATTCTGTATCTTTGCATTTCGTTTTTTTCTGCCTAAGTGGAGTCTTTTGCATTTGTCCCTGTTGAACTTCACTTTGTTAGTTTTGGCCCATGTCTCTAACCTGTCAAGATGGTTTTGAATCCTGCTCCTGTCCTCTGGAGTATTGGCTCTCCCTCCTAATTTGGTGTCGTATGCAAACTTGATGATCATGCCTTCTAGCCCTTCATCTCAGTCATTAATAAAGATGTTGAACAGGACTGGGCCCAGGGGGGAACCCTGCTTGTGGCACTCCACTCATCACTTCTTTCCAAGATGAAGAGGAAGTCTTGGGGAGAATCACCCTCTGGGTTTGTCCACTTAACCAATTCCAGATCCACCTCACCGTAGTTCTGCCTCGCCCACCTTGGACTAGTCTCCTTGCCAGAAGGTCATGGGGGACCTTGTCAAAGAAGGCCTTCCTGAAATCCAGGTACGCTCCATCCACGGCATTCCCCGCATCTACCCAGCTTGTAACTCTATCATAGACCTGCCACATGTTGAAGCTGACCAATAAGACCATAAGCCTGAACCAGTTTATCAAAGCAATCGACGCATTACGCATCTGGGTGGCTTTGGGGCCTTTCCCGACGGGAAGAAGAAGGGCTTACACTTTGTCCCCAAGCTCCTCTGCCATGCGGAGGATTTCAAAGAGCAGCACCATCTTCCCAGAATGCTCCAGCACCTCCGCATCCGCCTCCGTCACAAAATCCTTGTACCAATCCGGCGCGGGGCTTCCTGGGTTGGAAGACGGAGTGGCTTTGCCTAAAGAAAGTGTTTAAAAAAGAGAGAGGGAGTGAGGGAGGGAGAAAACCAATTTAATCAGAATGTATTATTTACTGCATTTACTGTACTGTTTACTGTATTATTTACTGTATTATGTATTACTAGCCGTCCCCTGCCACACGTTGCTATGGCCCACATGGGGGTTCTTTGTGGGAGGTTTGGCCCAATTCTATCGTTGGTGGGATTCAGAATGCTCTGTGACTCTAGGTGAACTATAAATCCCAGCAACGACTACTACTTAAGCTCTATTTCCCCCAAACTCTACCAGTGTTCACATTTGGACATCTTGAGCATTCGTGTAGAGTTTGGTCCAGGTCCATCATTGTTTAAGTCCACAGTGCTATCTGGATGTAGGTGAACTACAACTCCAAAACCAAAGGACACTGCCCACCAAACCCTTCCCGTTTTTTCTGTTGGTCATGGGAGTTCTGTGTGCCAAGTTTGGTTCAATTCCATCATTGGTGGGAGTTCAGAATGCTCTGTGACTGTAGGTGAACTATAAATCCCAGCAACGACTACTACTTAAGCTCTATTTCCCCCAAACTCTACCAGTGTTCACATTTGGACATCTTGAGCATTCGTGTAGAGTTTGGTCCAGGTCCATCATTGTTTAAGTCCACAGTGCTATCTGGATGTAGGTGAACTACAACTCCAAAACCAAAGGACACTGCCCACCAAACCCTTCCCGTTTTTTCTGTTCGTCATGGGAGTTCTGTGTGCCAAGTTTGGTTCAATTCCATCATTGGTGGGGGTTCAGAATGCTCTTTGATTGTAGGTGAACTATAAATCCCAGCAACTACAACTCCCAAATGACAAAATCAATTTTTTTGAGTGAAGGACATACATTGGGTTGTTAGGTGTCTTGTGTCCAAATTTGGTGCCAAATCGTCAAGTGGTTTTGAGTTCTGTTAATCCCACAAACGAACATTATATTTTTATTTATCTGGATTTACTGTATTTACCGTAATGTAGTGCACTCCCTCTCATTGATGGTGTAATATCCCACTAAAATATTGTGTAATTTGGGTTGTTGTAGCCATGTTCCAGAAGCACTCTCTCCTGATGTTTTGCCCACATCGATGGCAGGCATCCTCAAAGGTTGATCTCCCGCTACGATCCACCTAGGGCCCTAAGATCATCTGAGGAGACTCTGCTCATTGTCCCCCCCATAGTCACAACCGCGTCTGGTGGGACAAGGGACAGGGCCTTTTCTGTGGTGGCCCCCCGGCTATGGAACTCCCTCCCGAGTGAAATTAGATCTGCTGCATCCCTCTTGACCTTCCGGAAACAAGTAAAATTCTGGCTATGAGTGACAGCCCTATCCTCGCTGTTCACCCTATTCTCTGCAGAGATAGCAAAGCCTGGAAATCGACATGCTGTCTCCGTTCTCTTCCTTCCTGATTGCACTCGAATGAATATTGGGTAACGTATATGCCGCAACAAAGGGATCTGGCCTTTGGAGAATAGGCTGATCTACTGACATGTTGACTTACTATATATTCGAGTTTAAGCCTAGTTTTTCAGCCCCCTTTTTAGGCTGAAAAAGTCCCCCTCGGCTTATATTTGAGTCAAAGTTATTTATTATTTTACTCTGTTATTATTATTATTATTATTATTATTATTATTTCATTCATTATTTTATTCTATTTATTATTATTATTACATTTATCATTTTACTCTATTGTTATACATTTATTATTTTACTGTACAATTGTTGTTATTCCTACATTCATTGTTTTATTATTATTATTACATTTATTATGTTACTCTTTTTATTATAATTGGCTTTACCTATTCCTTTAAAGTGCTTTTTTTACTTTCCTGCTTTTACTTATCTTCAACAAAAGGATAGTTTTCCCTACTCAACGTGAAGTGTTTTAAAGTCATCTTGTGATTACCTGCTCATGCCTTGGATCAACGTTTCCTGGTTCTTTGGATTTTGTTAGAGAAGTGTGGACTTTGTTGAACTTTACCTTGGATTAATTTTGTTCCTGCTTATCTTCTTACCTAATTGGATTTACCTATTCCTTTAAAGTGCTTTTTTACTTATCTTCAACAAAAGGATTGTTTTCCCTACTCAACGTGTAGTGCAGTGGTTCTCAACCTTCCTAATGCCGCGACCCCTTAATACAGTTCCGCATGTTGTGGTGACCCCCCAACCATAAAATTATTATTTTTTGCTACTTCGTAACTGTCATTTTGCTACTATTATGAATTGTAATGTAAATTTCCGATATGCAGGATATATTTTCATTCACTGGACCAAATTTGGCACAAATACCCAATATGCCCAAATTTGAATACTGGTGGGGTTGGGGGAGTTGATTTTGTCATTTGGGAGTTGCAGTTGCTGGGATTTATAGTTCACCTCCAATCAAAGAGCATTCTGGACTCCATCAGCAATAGAAATGAACCAAACTTGGCACACAGAACTCCCACGACCAACAGAAAATACTGGAAGGGTTTGGCGGGCATTGACCTTGAATTTTGGAGCTGTGGTTCCAGAGAGCACTGTGCACTCAAACAATGATGGATCCGAACCAAACTTGGCATGAATATTCAATATGCCCAAATGTGAACATTGGTGGAGTTTGAGGAAAATAGACCTTGACATTTGGGAGTTGTAGTTGTTGGGATTTATAGTTCACCTACAATCAAAGAATATTCTGAACCCCACCAGTGATAGAATTGGGCCAAACTTCCCACACAGATCCTCCATAATCAACAGAAAGTACTGTGTTTTCTGGTGGTCTTTGGCGACACCTCCGACACCCCCTTGTGACCCCTCCAGGGGTCCCGACCCCCAGGTTGGGAAACACTGGTGTAGTGTTTTAAAGTCATCTTGTGATTACCTGCTCATGCCTTGGATCTTTGGATTTTATTAGAGAAGTGTGGACTTTGTTTTTGGACTTTGCTGAACTTGGATTAATTTTGTTCCTGCTTATCTTCTTACCTAATTGGATTTACCTATTCCTTTAAAGTGCTTTTTTACTTATCTTCAGCAAAAGGATTGTTTTCCCTACTCAACGTGTAGTGTTTTAAAGTCAGAGGAGTGCAACATTGAGGTCTATTGGAATTTAAGCATGGGAAGTTTATATGCCTGTGGAATAACGTCCAGGGTGGGAGAAAAAACTCATCTTTTGGAGGCAAGTGTGAATGTTGCAATCAATCACGTTGATTAGCATTTTTACCTTTTTAATAAGATTATGGTGCAGTGAATTCTAATAGGTTATGGAATTTCCAATATAAGATGGCTTCCTTGGCTGAGTTTTCGAGATTTAGATAAGCCACGCTTATTACCTTCCTCTGCCTTGGCAGCGGCCGGAGGATTCTTTGGGGGCTCTTCCGCGTTCCCTTCCCCGCCTCCGCGAGACCTCGAGTTCCAGACCTTAATCACTTCCACGTCGTTATCGCTGCCACTTTCGCTGGAGCTACTGTCTTTCTTCGACTTTTTGCCTTTGTTTTTTTTCTTCCTGTAGGCATATAGCATTTACCAACTGTTATGAGAGATCTGGCTGGAGCGTTACCGTAATTCAGGGGTCCTCAAACCTTTTAAACAGAGGGCCAGCTCACAGCCCCTCAAACTGTTGGGGGGCCGGATTATAATTTGAAAAAACATGAATGAATTCCTATGCACACTGCACAGATCTTATTTGCAGTGCAAAAACACTTAAAAGCAATACAATAATTAAAACGAAGAACAATTTTAACAAATATAGACTTATTAGTATTTCAATGGGAAGCGCAGGCCTGCTTTTGGCTGATGAGATAGGATTGTTGTTGTTATTGTTGTGTGCTTTCAAGTTGTTTCAGACTTAGGTTGACCCTAAGCGAGGGCCACGTATATGGCCTTGGAGGGCCGTATCCGGCTCCCGGGCCGTAGTTTGAGGACCCCTGCCGTAATTATTGCAGTCATCGCAATGAGCACCACCACCATTACAGTTCCACTTACTTAGCACATTCATCTGAGCTTAAGCTCACAGAGGACTCCTCGGAATCGGATGTTATGAATTCATCGAGACTGTCTTCATCAAAGTAGCCCTGGAAAACCAAATAACAACTGGTTTGATGAGAGGCTTTTAACAATCTGAGTCATCTCTGGTTGCTTTTAACAATCTGAGAACTACCACCTCACCCGCCTCATAGGAAACCTGCTACAAAACAGGAGCTTTTTTGTTGAGTTCCAGGGCCAGAGAAGCAGATGGCGGAAACAGAAGAACGGCCTGCCTCAGGGGAGCGTGCTTGCTCCATCCATGTTCAACATCTACACAAATGACCAGCCACTGCCAGAAGGGACAAAGAGTTTCATCTATGCTGATGATCGTGCCATCACCACTCAAGCAGGGAGCTTTGAGATGGTTGAACAGAAGCTCTCCAAAGCTCTAGGTGCTCTTACTGCCTATTACAGGGACAACCAGCTGATCCCTAATCCATCAAAACACAGACATGTGCCTTTCACCTTAAGAACAGACAAGCATCCCGAGCTCTGAGGATTACCTGGGAAGGAATCCCACTGGAGCATTGCAACACACCCAAATACCTGGGAGTCACTTTGGACCGTGCTCTGACCTACAAGAAGTACTGCCTGAACATCAAGCAAAAAGTGGGCGCTAGAAACAACATCATACGAAAGCTGACTGGCACAACCTGGGGATCACAACCAGACACAGTGAAGACATCTGCCCTTGCGCTATGCTACTCTGCTGCTGAGTATGCATGCCCAGTGTGGAACATCTCACCACACTAAAACAGTGGATGTGGCTCTTAATGAGACATGCCGCATTATCACGGGGTGTCTGCGCCCTACACCACTGGAGAAATTACACTGCTTAGCCGGTATTGCACCACCTGACATCCGCCGGGAAGTAGCAGCCAATAGTGAAAGGACCAAGGCAGAGACATCTCCAGCTCATCCCCTGTTTGGGTATCAGCCAGCACGTCAACGACTTAAATCTAGAAATAGTTTTCTTAGATCTACAGAGACACTCGCTGGAACACCTCAGCAAGCGAGAGTCCAAAAGTGGCAGGCTCAAACCCAGCACCTCAATCCATGGGTGATACCAGATGAGAGACTCCCCCCTGGGCACACAGAAGACCGTGGGCGACTTGGAAGGCGCTGAACAGACTGCGCTCTGGCACCACGAGATGCAGAGCCAACCTTAAGAAATGGGGCCACAAAGTGGAATCCTCGGCATGCGAGTGCGGAGAAGAGCAAACCACTGACCACCTGCTGCAATGCACCCTGAGCCCTGCCACATGCACCATGGAGGACATTCTTGCAGCAACATGCACATTGCAACAACTCCTTGCAGCAACACCAGAGGCACTCCAAGTGGCCAGATACTGGTCAAAGGACATTTAACCAAATACCAAATTTGCAAAATCTGTGTGTTTTTTTTCCTTTTTCTTTTTAATCTGTGTGTTTGTTTTGCTCTGTTAGAATTGTAATACAATGGTTGCTGATGACACGATAAATAAATAACGATCTGAGTCACAGCGCCATCAGGAACATATCACCATTGCAACAGCTGCCCCAGAATCCCCAATATCTAGCTATCGTTCTCTAGAGTCATAGAATCCTAGAGTTGGAGGAGACCTCCTGGGCCACCATCCAGTCCAACCCCATTCTGCCAAGAAGCAGGAATGTTGCATTCAAATCACCCCTGACAGATGGCCATCCAGCCTCTGTTTCAAAGCCTCCAAAGAAGGAGCCTCCACCACACTCTGGGTCAGAGAGTTCCACTGCTGAACGGCTCTCACATCATACGAAAGCTGACTGGCACAACCTGGGGATTACAACCAGACACAATGAAGACATCTGCCCTTGTGCTATGCTACTCTGCCGCTTGGTACGCATGCTCAGGGTGGAACACATCTCACCACACTAAAACAGTAGATGTGGCTCTTAATGAGACATGCCGCATTATCACGGGGTGTCTGCGCCCTACACCACTGGAGGAATTACACTGCTTAACTGGTATTGCACCACCTGACATCCGCCGAGAAGTAGCAGCCAATAGTGAAAGGACCAAGGCAGAGACATCTCTGGCTCACCCCGTTTGGATATCAGCCAGCACGCCAATGACTTAAATCAAAAAATAGTTTTCTAAGGTCTGCACCAGGGGTCCTCAAACTTTTTAAACAGAGGGCCAGGCCACAGTCCGTCAAACTGTTGGAAGGCTGGATAATAATTTGAAAAAAATATGAATGAATTCCTATGCACACTGCATACATCTTATTTGTAGTGCAAAAAACCACTTTAAAACAATACAACAATTAAAATGAACAATTTTAACAAATATAAAAGTTATTAGTATTTCAATGGGAAGTGTGGGCCTGCTTTTGGCAATGAGTTAGGATTGTTGTGTGTGCTTTCAAGTCGTTTCAGACTTAGATTGACCCTGAGTGAGGGCCGGGTAAAAGACCTTGGAGGGCCGTATTCGGCCCCCGGGCCTTAGTTTGAGGACCCCTGATCTACAGAGACACTCGCTTGAACACCCTAGAAAGCAACAGTCCAAAAGTGGCAGGTTCAAACCCAAAACCTCAATCAATGGCTGATACCAAATGAGAGACTTTCTCTTGGGCACACAGAGGACTGGGCGACTTAGAAGGTGCTGAACTGACTGCGTTCTGACACCACAAGATGCAGAGTCAACCTTAAGAAATGGGGCCACAAAGTAGAGTCCACGACATGCGAGTGTGGAGAAGAGGAAACCACTGACCATCTAATGCAACCTGAGCCCTGCCACACGCACAATGGAGGACCTTCTCACAGCAACACCAGAGGCACTCCAAGTGGACAGCTACTGGTCAAAGGACATTTAATAGAATGCCAAGTCTGCAAACTTTGTGTTTTTTTTAATACAATATAATTGTTTGGTTCACTCTTGACATGATAAATAAAATAAATATTCAGCAAAAGGGAAGTCTATCCATTCACGTAGCCTCCCCGAGACTTGGCCATCAGAAGAGCTTCACCAGAGAAAAGGAAGGCAAGAAGAAAGGAAGTTGTGGTCTACCTTGTTCTCTTTGCTGATATAGTCCAGCTGCAAGCACCAGGGATGGGTCCAGATCCGACTCAACATCTGGAAGTCCTGGAAGAGCTTGGCTCCTGCTTTGCCCCTTCCACCTTCGCTGCTGACACCTGGAAATAAAGGAGCGGAGGGACATGGAGACACCTTGGCCAAGCAGCATGTGCCTCAGTGCAAAACAACCCTCTCTTTCCTATTTATTTACTAGGCTTGGGCGATCCAGTTCGTTAATTTCGTTATTCGTTATTAATTCGTATTTAAATTAGCTTACAATCCAATATCGAGCCATGCAGGAATAGTGTGAGGAGTAATTAAGAATAGAAACAATTTTTCCAATTTTCGTAATTATTTCGTAATTATTTCGTAATTATTTTCGTATGTCTGGTGCAAGTTTTACAATCTCGCATTTACCCCACTTCCGGTCCCTTTGCTCTGCTGCTTCCCTCCTCACTCTGGGCTGCACTGGGCTACCTTCCTTCCTTCCTTCCTTCCTTTCAGCTGGCAAATCTCACATTCCCCCCTCCCTCCTCTTTCTCCTGGCATCCTTCTTGCCCAAAATTTCTCATTACTTTATTTTTCATACCCTCACTCTATGCCACAGGAATGCGTTGCCAGGTACAGCTAGAATATAATATAATATACAATAATATAATATAATATATTATAATATATAATAATATAATAATATAATAATAATATAATATAATAATAATATAATAATAATATAATATAATATAATATAATATACAATAATATAATATAGTTGTTTGTTTTATCACACCAACAGTCAACAACAGAGGGAGAGGGAAGCTTCAGAAGTTCCCCCTGTCCCATTTGGAGGTTTTTTTAGCATATTGCGCCATCGCGTCCGCCATTAACGAATCAATTCGTAATTTCGGAAATTCCGAAATTTTGAAATCTTAAATTTCGGAAGTCCTCAGAATTTCGAAACGCTAGCGTGCCCTAGAAACGAAATTGGTTTAGAACCAATTTTTTTCTTGATCGCCCAAGCCTATTATTTACAGTATTTATATTCCGCTCTTCTCACCCTGAAGGGGACTCACAGAACATACATATTTACTACTACTACTACAACTACACCATCTATAAGCCAGACCAGAAGGGCAGAATTTTGCTCCTCTACTATAATGTTGCCAGCAATAAGATCTTAAGAAGCCTGAGCTGTCATCTATATAAATAAAAATGTAATGCTCGTTTGTGGGATTAACAGAACTCAAAAACCACTGAACGAATTGACACCAAATTTGGACACAAGGCACCTAACAACCCAATGTATGTCCTTCACTCAAAAAAACACTGAAAAACACAGCGGAAGGGACTTAAAAAGCAAACCCCAAAACATTACAACGCATGTGCAAAACATATATACACAAATACACATACACACAAACACATATGCATATACACAAAACACATAAACAGAAAGAGTGAAGGAGGGAGTGAAGGAAGGAAAGAAAGAAGGGTAGAGAAAGAAGGAGGGAGAGAAGAAGGGAAAGAAGGGGAAGGAGAGGAAGAAGGAAATAAAGGTAGAGAAGGAAGGAGGGAGAGAAAGGGCAAGAAAAAGGGAAAGGAGAGAAGGAAGGAAAAAGTGTAGAGAAGGCAGGAGAGAAAGAGGGAAGGAGAGAAGGAAGGAAAGGGGTAGAGAAGGAAGGAAGGGGAGAAAGAGGGAAGGAGAGAAGGAAGGAAGGAAGGATAGAGAAGGATGGAGAGAATGTATGTCCTTCACACAAAAAATGGATTTTGTCATTTGGGAGTTGTAGTTGCTGGGATTTATACTTCACCTACAATCAAAGAGCATTCTGAACCCCACTGACAATAGAATTGGACCAAACTTGGCACACAGTTCTCCCATGACCAACAGAAAATACTGGAAGGGTTTGGTGGGCAGTGTCCTTTGGTTTTGGAGTTGTAGTTCACCTACATGCAGAAATCACTGTAGACTCAAACAATGATGGATCTGGACCAAACTCTACACGAATACTCAGGGGCGGCTCAACCCATTACGCAAAGTATAGTTGATTTTGCCCATGGGGGCTCTTGAGACGCTCTTGGGGGAAAATAGACCTTGACATATGCGAGTTGTAGTTACTGGGATGTATAGTTCACCTACAATCAAAGAGCAATGTCAAGGTCTATTTTCCACAAACGCCACCAGTGTTCACATTTGGGCACATTGAGTATTAGTGCCAAGTTTGGTCCAGATCCCTCATTGTTTGAATCCACAGTGCTCTCTGGATGTAAGTGAACTACAACTCCAAAACTCAAGGTCAATGCCCACCAAACCCTTCCAGTATTTTCTGTTGGTCATGGGAGTTATTTGTGCCAAGTTTGGTTCAATTCCATCGTTGGTGGAGCTCGGAATGCTCTTTGATTGTTGGTGAACTACAAATCCCAACAACTAATGACAAAATCAATATGACCCCCCCCCCCAACCCCACCAGTATTCAAATTTGGATGTATCTGTATTTGTGCCGAATTTGGTCCAGTGAATGAAAATACATCCTGCATATCAGATATTTACGTGACGATTCGGAGCAGCAGCAAAATGACAATTGTGAAGTAGCAACGAAAATAATGTTATAGTTGGGGGCCACCACAACTTGAGGAAGAGTGTTAAGGGGTTGACGCATTAGGAAGGTTGAGAAACACTGGTCTAAACTATAACTCCTAACATTTGTCACAGTGATGAGTGTAAATAAAGAAAAATAAATAAATAAATAAATAAATAAATAATAAAACTTTATATTCTGCTCTATCTCTCTGCTTGGTAGATACAGATGATAATAATAATAATAATAATAATAATAATAATAATAATAATAATAATAATATATTTATATTCCGCTCTATTTCCCCAAAGGGATTCAGGGTGGATTCCAAACATAAAAGGCAAACATTCAATGCCCAAATACAACAACAAAACATCCATGCTAACAAAATTTACACAATCCAACATATAGATACGAATTATAACTTAACAAACTATAATTAAATAAATTAAATGAAATTAAGACCTCAAAGAACGCCCAGCGCAATGCAAGAGGAAGCAGACATCTACAGAAACAAACCCAAAAAAAGTAAAGTATCACAAGGGACTGCGCGATGTCCACCTTACCTGTTAAATGATCCAAGTAGTACCGATACAGTTTACACTGGATAGGAGTCATCCTAACAGCGAGAACATACTCATATTTGGGGGGCAGGAACTTGGTTAGTGCAGTATAATCCTTCCTCTGTAAAAGAAGCATTAAGGAGTAGCCAGTTATATTTATTTATTTATTTAGTGTTATATATTACTATACTGTACTATACCACTATAGTGCAACATTATTAATAATATCACATATAATATATAATATATAATAGTTATATTATTATATTGTATTACTAGCCTTCCTCTGCCACACGTTGCTGTGGCCCAGTCTGTGTATATGTGTTTTGTGTGTGTATATATGTGTTTTCTAAGATCTACAGAAACACTCGCTGGAACACCTCAGCAAGCGAGAGTCCAAAAGTGGCAGGCTCAAACCCAGCACCTCAATCCGTGGGTGATACCAAATGAGAGACTCCCCCCTGGGCACACAGAAGACTGGGCGACTTGGAAGGCGCTGAACAGACTGCGCTCTGGCACCACGAGATGCAGAGCCAACCTTCAGAAATGGGGCCACAAAGTGGAATCCACGACATGCGAGTGTGGAGAAGAGCAAACTACAGATCACCTGCTGCAATGCAACCTGAGCCCTGCTACATGCACAAGGGAGGACCTTCTTGCAGCAACACCAGAGGCACTCCAAGTGGCCAGATACTTGTCAAACGACATTTAATCCACTACCAAGTTTGCAAAAGTTGTGTTTTTTTAATCTGTTTGTTTGTTTTGTTCTGTTAGAAATGTAATACAATGGCATGGTTGCTGATGACACAATAAATAAATAAATAAATCTTTATTTATACCCCGCCACCATCTCTCTATTACCAAACTCACAAATTTTGTATTCTGTTAGAAATGTAATATAATTGACTGGTTGCCCTGACACGACAAATAAATACCATCTCCCCAATGGGGACTCTGGGCGGCTAAAATGAGGCCAAGCCTGGTAGTACTATTACAATAATATAACAACAACATAACAGAGAAGCAAGAAATATACATTGCAAATAATAATAAAGCAAAAAAATAAAATTAAAAGAAAAAAATGCAAAATAATACAGAAAAATAATAATAGATAAAATAATAATAGAGTAAAATAATAGATAAAATAATAATAATAGAGTAAAATAATAAATGTGATAAAAATAACAATAGAGTAAAATAATGTAAATGTAGTAGTAGTAGTAATAATAATAATAATAATAATAATAATAATAATAATAATAATAATAATAGCAGAGTAAAATAATAAGTAACTTGATGCCAAGCCCGGACAATATATTACAGCAAAATAAAACCAAAACAAGCAACAGCATCAAAATTACATTAACAAATGCACAGTAACAAAATAACATTACAATAAACACAATCCAAGAATTTGCATGATACAGAATATAGAGAGCAGGGCAAATTGCAATCTGGGAATGCGAAAGAAAACAATATGCAATGAGAAACATTTTCTTTCTGCTTAACAGGAACAACAGATTTGGGGGGAAAGTAGCTTCTGCCAACAGCAACAAATCTATCAGAACTCCAGAGTGGCTACGGCTGAAGGGTCAGAACCCAAAGGCTTTGAATGGTACAAAAAACGAGAAACAACGAAAGCGCGTACCTGAACACAGCCAGCCAGCATTTCATAGAGGATATGTGCGCGCTTCTTCATCACCCGGACATCGGCCAGAGTGGAATCGGCGCACTGACCGTTCTGGATCGGGTTGATAAATCGGTTTCGGAACTCCTTGACAGAGCCCAGCAAATTCTCCTTGATGAAGTTGACCATGCAGTGATCTGAGGAGTCACAAAGCAAAAGCCCACGCTTTTAAAATCTGGTATGGCAAAAGGAGCCCTGGGAAAAACAACGGAGAACCTGCCAACGGAGATGGCTGACGGGCTCCATTGGGCACAAGTTTTTGTGAGCTGACTGAGTCCAGAGTCCACGACAGCTTAGTGCCAAAGGAAACCTGGTGGCCTTCCAGGGGACACAAGCCCCTTTGTTGTTTCTGAGGCAATACACTTAACATGGCTGCCCAACTTTTTACCTGTCCGAACGTATCTTCCTCTATAAACCACCGAGGAGTTTAAGATCTTCCAGAGAGGCGCTGCTCTTGGTCCCATCACCTTCGCAGGCGCGTTTGGTGGGGATGAGAGACAGGGTCTTCTCTGTGGTGGACCCCCGGCTATGGAACTCTCTCCCCAGTGAGATTATTTATTTATTTACTAGCTGACCCCTAGCACGCGTTGCTGTGGTCCACATGGGGGTTCTGTATGAGAGGTTTGGCCCAATTCCATCGTTGGTGGGGTTCAGAATGCTCTTTGATTGTAGGTGAACTATAAATCCCAGCAACTACAACTCCCAAACGTCAAGATTCTATTTTCCCCCAAATCCACCAGTGTTCACATTTGGGCATATTGAGTATTCGTATAGAGTTTGGTCCAGATCCATCATTGTTTGAGTCCACCAAAGGACACTCCCCTCCAAACCCTTTCAGGGTTTTCCGTTGGTCATGGAAGAACTATATGCCAAGTTTGGCCTCATTCATTGGTGGGGTTCAGAATGCTCTTTGATTGTAGGTGAACTATAAATCCCAGCAACTACAACTCCCAAATGACAAAATCATTTTTTTTTTGAGTGATGGCCACTCATTGGCCTGAGAGGTGTCTTGTGTCCAAATTTGGTGTCAATTCGTCCAGTGGTTTTTGAGTTCTCTTAATCCCACAAACGAACATGACATTTTTATTTATATAGATTTACTCTGTTTGTATACCGCCTTTCTCAGCCAATCGGCGACTCAAGGCGGTTTCCAACAAATCAGTACATATAAAAACATAATACAGATTAAAATATTAAACAATACAAAACACCACAAAAGCAATAAAAACATCATTAGTGACTTGTTATTATCAAGCACTAGCTGTACTTGCCACGCATTGCATCCCTCTTTCTCTCCTTCTTTCCCTCCTTCCTTCATTCCCTCTTTCCTTCCTGCTTTCCCGTCTTTCCTTTTCTTCTTCCTTCTCTCTTTCCTTCCTCCTTTTTCTTTCTCTTCTGCTTTCTCTTTTCTTCCTTCTCTCTTTCCTTCGCTCCCTCTTTCTCTACATCTTCCCCCCTTCCTTTGCTCCCTCTTTCCTTCCTTCTTTTCCTTTTTTCTTTCCTTCTCTTCCTTCCTTCCTTCCTAACTTTCCTTCCTTCCCCCTTTTTCTTTCCCTCCCTCTTTCTCTCCTTTTTTCCTTCTCTACCTCTTTCCTTCTTTCTCTCTTTGCTTCCATGCTTCCTTCTCCCTTTCCTTCTTTCTTTCCCCCCTCTTTCTTTCTTTCTTTCTTTCTTTCTTTCTTTCTTTCTTTCTTTCTTTCTTTCTTTTCTCCCCTTCCCTCCCTCTTTCTTCCCTTTTTTCTGTATTGTCATTTAGTTTTCCGTCTTAGCTTTTTGGGGCTTTTAAGTCCCTTCTGCTGCGTTTTGCTGTGTTTTTATGAGTGAAGGACATACATTAGACTGTTAGGTGTCTTGTGTCCAAATTTGGTGTCAATTCCCCCAGAGGCTTTTGAGTTCTATTAATCCCACAAACGAACATTACATTTTTATTTATATAGATTGTCAATTTCCTATATTAGCTACTCTGCATTTGTAAATACTTGCTCGAACAGCCACGTTTTAACTTGCCTCCGAAACGTTAAGAGGGAGGGAACAAATCTGATCTCCCTACGGAAGGTGTTCCATAGCCGAGGGGCCACCACTGAAAAGGCCCTGTCTCTTGTCCCTGCCAAACGTACTTGTGACGAAGGCGGGACCGAGAGCAGAGCCTCCCCAGATGATCTTAGAGTCCTCGATGGTTCGTAAGAGGACACGTTTGGACAGGTAAGTTGGGCCAGAACCGTTTAGGGCTTTATAGGCCATAGCCAGCACTTTGAATTGGGCTCGGAAGCAAACCGGCAGCCAGTGGAGCTGGCCCAACAAAGGGGTTGTATGTTCCCTGAGCGCCACTCCTGTTAACAACCTGGTTGCTGTTCGTTGGACTAGTTCAGTGGTTCTCAACCTTTCTAATGCCACAACCCCTTAATACAATTCCTCATGTTATGGTGACCCCCAACCATAAAATTATTTTTGTTGCTACTTCACAACTACAATTTTGCTACTGTTATGGATTGTAATATAAATATCTGATATGCAGGATGGATGTATTTTCATTCACTGGACCAAATTTGGCACAAATATGTGATATGTCCCAATTTGAATACTGGTGGGGTTGGCAGGGGATTGATGCCATTTGGGAGTTGTAGTTGCTGGGATTTATAGTTTACCTACAATCAAAGAGCATTGTGAACTCCAACAATGGAATTGAACCAAACTTGGCACACAGAACTCCCATGACCAACAGAAAATGGAAGGGTTTGGTGGGCATGACCTTGGTTTTGGAGTTGTAGTTCACCTACATCCAGAGACTCTGGACCAAACTTGGCAGGAATTCTCAATATGCCCAAATGTAAACACTGGTGGAGTTTGGGGAAATAGACCTTGGCATTTGGGAGTTGTAGTTGCTGGGATGTATAGTTCACCTACAATAAAAGATCATTCTGATCCCCACCAATGATAGAATTGGGCCAACAGAAAATACTATGTTTTAGGATCGTCTTCGGCGACCCCTCTGACACCCCCTCGTGACCCCCCCACAGGGGTCCCGACCCCCAGGTTGAGAAACACTGGACTAGTTGAAGCTTCCGGACAGTCTTCAAAGGCAACCGGGATTGTGGAGCAGCTGGCTGAGTGTCAGCTGCATTAAGATCACTCTGACCAAAAGGCCATGAGTTCGAAGCCAGCCTGGGTTGGAGTGGGTTTCTAACCAATTGTGTGTAGCCTGTTGTCGAGCTTTGCAACCCGAAAGACAGTTCCATCTGTCAAGTAGGAAAACAAGGTACCACCTTAAAGTGTGGGGAGGCTAAATTAACTAATTTATGAGGACATAAAGAAGACTCTAGCAAAAGCATTCCAGCAGGGAAGCATGCGGGGAATGCGGAAGTGCTTCATCAGCGTCGCAGATGGACGAGGAAAGCGACAGCTCCCCTGGCGGCCAGAAAAAGTTAAATAGCCTCTGTGTATGTCTGTATATGTTTGTATGTCAAAAATTGGCATTGAATGTTTGCCATATATGTGTACACTGTAATCCGCCCTGAGTCCCCTGCGGGGTGAGGAGAAGGGCAGAATATAAAAGCTGTAAATAAATAAATAAACCCCACATAGAGTGCGTTGCAGTAGTCTATACGGGATGTAACCAGAGTGTGGACTACTGTGACCAAGTCAGACTTCCCAAGGTATGGGCGCAAATGGTTCTGCTCCCTCTCTCCTGTCATTCAGGAAGCAGCTAAAATCCTGGCTGTGGAGTCAGGCATTTGCAGATTGATGGATGATTGTGTTAGAGTTTTGAAATTTTCACCACCAGAACTTTAGCAACACTGTAGAAGCAAAGCACCAGCGCCCACTAGTTTTCACCACCAGTACTTTAGAAACCCCGGTGGTGCAGTGGTTTAAAGCACTGAGCTGCTGAGCTTGTTGATCGAAAGGTCGCAGGTTCGATTCCGGGGAGCGGCGTGAGCTTCCGCTGTCAGCCCTAGCTTCTGCCAACCTAGCAGTTCGAAAACATGCAAATGTGAGTAGATCAATAGGTACCGCTCCGGCGGGAAGGTAACGGCGCTCCATGCAGTCATGCCGGCCACCTGACCTTGGAGGTGTCTACGGACGCTCTCTTCGGCTTAGAAATGGAGATGAGCACCACACCCCAGAGTCAGACATGACTGGACTTAATGTCAGGGGACTACTTTTATACATGGCTATCATATCTCCTTCAGCCTTCTCTTCTTCAGGCTAAACATGCCCAGCTCCTTAAGCCGCTCCTCATAGGGCTTGTTCTCCAGACCCTTGATCATTTTAGTTGCCCTCCTCTGGACACATTCCAGCTTGTCAATATCTCTCTTGAATTGTGCTGCCCAGAATTGGACACAATATTCCAGGTAAAGTGGTCTAACCAGAGCAGAATAGAGCATAATATAATGTTGTTGTTGTCGTCCTTCTATTTTATTTTTCTTTACTTCTGAATAAAAACTAAAGGGGAAAATAAGGAAGAGTGGGTAAGTATTTTGCAAATTAAAGCGACTCTTAGTCTGGATGGAGCCTCAGGCCATGAAAACGTGTACCCTGGTTCTGTAAATACTTCCATGGCCCAGTAGAATACAACACACCCGACAAGCAATGTCTCGCAATATTGAACCAACTGTTTGGCACCTGCCTCCCCCAGAAATGGACTCACATTCGATGAGGTTGTTCTGCAGCGGCGTCCCGGTGAGGATGATCCTCCTCCTCGATCGGATGGAATTCATCGCTTTGGACACAGCAGAAGCCTCGTTTTTCAACACGTGTCCTTCGTCACAGATCACAAAATCAGGGCCTGGTTTTTAAAGAAAGGAAACAAGACGCCAACAATTATCCTTCACTGCTGCTGGAGCTGATGAACAACTGCACTACATCCTGTCAGATCCCCAAAATCTGGAGGAAAGCAAGAGTCATCGCCATCTTGAAGCCAGGCAAAGACCGTAATGACCCAAAAAGCTACAGACCAATCTCCCTGTTGTGCCACCTCTACAAAGTTCTGGAGAGACTTATTTTGCATAGAATTAGGGAAAAAATAGACCCCTGTCTGATTCCACAGCAAGCTGGCTTCAGGAAAGGCAAAAGCTGCACATCGCAAGTGCTGAACCTGACTCAGCACATAGAAGATGGCTTTGAAAGGCAGCAGATCACAGGAGCTGTCTTCATAGACCTGTCAGCGGCTTATGAGACTGTGAACCACCGCCTCCTCCTGAGAAAAATGTATAATATCACAAAGGACGACCACCTCACCCGCCTCATAGGAAACCTGCTACAAAACAGGAGCTTTTTTGTTGAGTTCCAGGGCCAGGGAAGCAGATGGCGGAAACAGAAGAACGGCCTGCCTCAGGGGAGCGTGCTTGCTCCATCCATGTTCAACATCTACACACATGACCAGCCACTGCAAGAAGGGACAGAGAGCTTAATCTATGCTGATGATCGTGCCATCACCGCTCAAGCAGGGAGCTTTGAGATGGTTGAACAGAAGCTCTCCGAAGCTCTAGGTGCTCTTACTGCCTATTACAGGGAAAACCAGCTGATCCCTAACCCATCTAAAACACAGACATGTGCTTTTCATCTCAAGAACAGACAAGCATCCTGAGCTCTGAGGATGACCTGGGAAGGAATCCCACTGGAGCATTGCAGCGCACCCAAATACCTGGGAGTCACTCTGGACCGTGCTCTGACCTACAAGAAGCACTGCCTGAACATCAAGCAAAAGTGGGCTAGAAACAATATCATACGAAAGCTGACTGGCACAACCTGGGGATCACAACCAGACACAGTGAAGACATCTGCCCTTGCGCTATGCTACTCTGCTGCTGAGTACATGCCCAGTGTGGAACACATCTCACCACACTAAAACAGTGGATGTGGCTCTTAATGAGACATGCCGCATTATCATGGGGTGTCTGCGCCCTACACCACTGGAGAAATTACACTGCTTAGCCGGTATTGCACCACCTGACATCCACCGGGAAGTAGCAGCCAATAGTGAAAGGACCAAGGCAGAGACATCTCTTCGAGCAGGCATTCGGAACCCCGGAATAGTCAAGCTTGAGATGGAGAATGACCCAGGAACGGCCAAGACGATGAAACGGATGAGGATTGGATTGAGAGGATATAGCTCTTTTTAAATTGTTATTGCACTGTCTTTTTTGTCTAAATGCACTTAATTGTTTTTGCTTTTGTATTGTATTGATGGCATCGAATTGTGCCGATATGTAGACCGCCCTGAGTCGCCTGCGGGCTGATATGGGCGGGATATAAGTGATGTAAATAAATAATAAATAAATTTCCAGCTCATCCCTTGTTTGGGTATCAGCCAGCACGTCAATGACTTAAATCAAGAAATAGTTTTCTTAGATCTACAGAGACACTCGCTGGAACACCTCAGCAAGCGAGAGTTCAAAAGTGGCAGGCTCAAACCCAGCACCTCAATTCGTGGGTGATACCAGATGAGAGACTCCCCTGGGCACACAGAAGACTGGGCGACTTGGAAGGCGCTGAACAGACTGCGCTCTGGCACCACGAGATGCAGAGCCAACCTTAAGAAATGGGGCCACAAAGTGGAATCCACGACATGCGAGTGTGGAGAAGAACAAACCACTGACCACCTGCTGCAAGGCAACCTGAGCCCCGCCACATGCACCATGGAGGACCTTCTTGCAGCAACACCAGAAGCACTCCAAGTGGCCAGATACTGATCATTTTGCATGCACAATGGAGGACCTTCTTGCGGCAACACCAGAGGCACTCCAAGTGGACAGATACTGGTCAAAGGGCATTTAATCAACTACCAAGTTTGAAAAATCTGTTTTTTATCTGTTTTTTTTTTTGTTCTGTTAAAAATGTAATACAGGGTTAGTCAAAATGAATAGGCCAATAAGAAAATTAATTTTAGACAAATGTATGTTTACTGTAACCAAACCACAGCTATGTAGCGACAGATAAACTATCAAAGTTTTGTCTCACCTTCAGAGATGTTCGATATGGGCGCCCCGTGTGACACGGCAGATGTCCAAGCGATAGTCCAGTTCATTCCACATCCGTTGCAGCACATCCGACGTAATGGCATCGAATGCAGCACATATGCGCTGTTTTAAGTTTTACCCTTGCATAAGCAGCCCGTCTCCTCAAATTCAACGTCTGGGAAGGTGTTCGTTGAGGTCCTAACCCTAACCCTATCCCTAACCCTAACCCTATCCCTAACCCTAACCCTAACCCTAACCTAACCCTAACCCTTGAAATTCTCGCTGGACCGTAATTACTGACATTGTTTTAGCAAATGTCATCACACAAAACGCCTTCTCTTTGCTTGATTCCGCCATTTTGAAAACAGCGACCCCTAGCGACGCCTAGCGGCATTAACGTACATGTGTGTTGCTCAAAAAAAACTTTTGATAGTTTATCTGTCGCTACGTAGCTGTGGTTTGGTTACAGTAAACATACATTCGTCTAAAATTAATTTTCTTATTGGCCTATTCATTTTGACTAACCCTGTACAATGGTCTGGTTGCTGATGACACGATAACACACACACACATCTGAAATAGACTGCCTAAAACAGTAAAAGTATGGATTTTAAGAAACCTTGTTTGCACCTTACCCAGAGCATCGTCCTGTGGATTTTCTCTCCTGTTTGTTACCATTACAGCCCTGGCTACACTGCACCAGACTCAGCGATGTGTACCAAACACTGCTACACCAAGGACTAGGCCTGCGATGGGTGGGGATGCTGCGAGAAGTAGTCCAAGTGAGAGCAAAAGACGGGCCGGTAGGACGTCCTGCTTACCTGGATCAACCAAGGATTTGTTGAAGATCTCCTTCAGCTTCTTGCTCTTGACGTTCCTCCCTTGGGCCAGGTTCCGGTACATTTCGTAGCCGATGATCATGACGCCGCCCTCTTCCTGCCACCGCTGCAGCATGTAGCCTCGCTCCTGAGGCCGCTTGACCGTGGCCAGCTCATTCACCTTCACGGACGGGGGGAGGGGGGGGGGAGAATGACAGAAATATTCAATAGGTATTTTTACTTTCAAAAATGGGAGTCAAGCACTGAAAGAGTTAAATGGGCACGAAAGCTGCAGTTCAATATAAGAAGGTGTACCTGTAGCTTACTAGCCCTCAATCTGAGGGAGCCCTCAGTGTTAGCAGACCTCAGTCTGTGAGAGGCCTCGGTGTGAGAAGGTCTCAGTGTTAGTTCGTCTCAGTCTGTGAGAGGTCTCTATAGGAGAAGAACCTCAGTGTGATAGTAGGCCTCAGTATGAGTAGGCCTCAACTGTTAGTTCACCTCAGTATGAGAGGTGTTAGTCTGAGAGAGCCCTCAGTGTGAGAAGGACTCAATGTTAGTGTGCTTCAGTGTTAGTTCGCCCTAGTGTGAGAGAGGAATCAGTCTGAGAGAGCCCTCAGTGTGAGAAGGCCTCAGTGGGAGAAAGGCCTCAGTGTTAGTTCACCTCAGTGTGAGAGAGGCATCAGTCTGAGAAAGACCTCAGTGTGGTAAGGCCTCAGAGGGAGAAAGGCCTCAGTGTTAGTTCATCTCAGTGTGAGAGAGGAATCAGTCTGAGAGAGCCCTCAGTGTGAGAAGGCCTCAGTGGGAAAAAGGCCTCAGTGTTAGTTCACCTCAGTGTGAGAAAGGAATCAGTCTGAGAAAGACCTCAGTGGGGTAAGGCCTCAGTGTGAGAAACATCTCAGTGTAAGGTAGGCCTCAGTATGAGTCGGCCTCAGTCTTAGATCGCCTCAGTGTGAGAGAGCCCTCAGTGTGAGAAGACCTCAGTGTTAGTAGGCCTGGTGTGAGAAGCTTTGGACAGGGATATGGCAATTTCATGACGGTCTTGCTTTCAAGTGTTCTTAGTTTCATGTACCAAGTTTTTGCCAAGCTCCTGATTTGTGTATTGGATTTTTCATGCTGCCCTGTTTTGTGGATTCCTGTGCATTATTTCATGGATTTTTGGCTCGTTTCTCCCTTCCTCTCTTCATTTGTGCCTCTTCAAATTCTTCCTCCTGGAGAAACGTGCCATGAAGAAGGCGCGTCAAGCCAACTGTGACCGGACCCGCCTTCCACCTGGAAACCGATGTCCTCGCTGTGGACAAACATGCGGATCAAGAATAGGGCTCCGCAGCAACCTACGGACCCACCAAGACACTACACTTGGAGGACCATCATCCTCGGGCTACGAGGGATCACCTAAGTAAGAATGTGGGTGGTTGTCGGTTTTTTGGGCTATATGGCCATGTTCTAGAAGCATTCTCTCCTGACGTTTCGCCTCTGAGGATGCTTGCCATAGATGCAGGCGAAACATTAGGTGAGAATGATTATAGAACATGGCCATACAGCCCAAAAAAACCTACAACAATCCAGTGATTCCAGCCATGAAAGCCTTCGACAATACATTAATGGATCATCCTTTGTTTTGGAACTTTACTCTTCTGCTATTTTTACTGCTTTGTCTACATCGGTGTTTCTCAACCTGGGGGTCGGGACCCCTGGGGGGGTCGCGAGGGGGTGTCAGAGGGGTCGCCAGAGACCATCAGAAAACACTGTATTTTCTGTTGGTCATGGGGTTTCTGTGGGAAGTTTGGCCCAATTCTATCATTGGTGGGGTTCAGAATGCTCTTTGATTGTAGGTGAACTATAAATCCCAGCAACTACAACTCCAAAATGTCAAGGTCTATTTTCTCCAAACTCCACCATTGTTGTTGTTCATTCGTTGAGTCGTCTCCGACTCTTCGTGACCTCATGGACCAGCCCACGCCAGAGCTCCCTGTCGGCCGTCACCAACCCCAGCTACCTTCAAGGTCAGTCCAGTCACTTCAAGGATGCCATCCATCCATCTTGCCCTTGGTCGGCCCCTCTTTATTTTGCCTTCCACTTTCCCCAGCATAATTGTCTTCTCTAGGCTTTGCTGTCTCCTCATGATGTGGCCAAAGTACTTCAACTTTGTCTCTAGTATCTTTCCCTCCATTGAGCAGCCGGGCTTTATTTCCTGGAGGATGGACTGGTTGGATCTTCTCACAGTGTCTATTTTCCCCAAACTCCACCAGTGTTCACATTTGGGCATATTGAATATTCATGCCAAGTTTGGGCCAGATCCATCATTGTTTGAGTCCACAGTGCTCTCTGGATGTAGGTGAACTACAACTCCAAAACTCAAGGTCAGTGCCCACCAAACTCTTCCAGTATTTTCTGTTGGTCATGGGAGCTCTGCGTGCCAAGTTTGGTTCAGTTCCATCATTGGTGGAGTTCAGAATGCTCTTTGATAGTAGGTGAACTATACATCCCATCAACTACAACTCCCAAATGACAAAATCAATCCCTCCCCACCCCATTTGTATCCAAATTTTGGTGTATTGGATATTTGTGCTGAATTTGGTCCAGTGAATGAAATTACATCATGCATATCAGATATTTACATTATGATTCTTAATTGGAGTAAGATTACAATTATGACGTAACAATGCAAATAATTTTACGATTGGGGGTCACCACAACATAAGGACTGTATTAAGGGGTCACGGCATTTGGAAGGTAGAGAACCACTGGTCTACATATATTCTTAAATAAACTGCTTGCTGATTTTACCAAAGTCAGAGGGGTTCCTGCTTTGGTGTACGACAATTATTTCTAAGGGTGGGGAAGGCAAGGGATCGTGAAACAATCTCGAGCAGCACATACCTCCAGCTTCTCGCTGTCGTCCAGGCCTTCCTGCCATTTCTCAAATTCGTTCAGCCAGTTCAGGGCTGTGTTCAGGGGACAAACCACAAGAGCGGTACTGAAATCCAGTTTGTCACACAACAGGATGGTATGGAGGAAACTGACTACCTTCAAGAGAGAGAAAGACAAGCACATCCAGCGTTAATATAGATGCCTTTTTAAAAAAAAGGGTATTTCAAAAATTAGCAGCAAATCCCCTTCGAGAAAAGAATTGTTCTGTATGTAGCAATGAACCTTTCTTTGCAAGCTGGGTTTGAGTTATGAAGTTAACCATGACACAAAAAAGGGATACCCAATGCCCTTATAAAACACTTGAAATGGTGGGACCCTGGGAAACAGGGCCTTCTTGGTGGCTGCTCCCTGATTTTGTCACTCTAGGCTTTCCTGTCTCCTCATGATGTGGCCAAAGTACTTCAGCTTTGTCTCTAGTATCCTTCCCTCCAGTGAGCAGTCGGGCTTTATTTCCTGGAGGATGGACTGGTTGGATCTTCTCGCAGTCCAAGGCACTCTCAGCACTTTCCTCCAACACCACAGTTCAAAAGCATCTATCTTCCTTCGCTCAGCCTTCCCTAAGGTCCAGCTCTCACATCCGTAGGTGACTACAGGGAATACCATGGCTTTGACTAGGCAATGGATCTTGGTTGCCAGTGTGATGTCTCTACTCTTCACTATTTTATCGAGACTGGACATTGCTCTCCTCCCAAGAAGTAAGCGTCTTCTGATTTCCTGGCCACAGTCTGCATCTGCAGTAATCTTTGCGCCTAGAAATACAAAGTCTGTCACGGCCTCCACGGTTTCTCCCTCTATTTTCCAGTTGTCAATCATTCTTGTTGCCATAATCTTGGTTTTTTTGACGTTTAGCTGCAACCCGGCTTTTGCGCTTTCTTCTTTCACCTTGACTGAACTTCTAGAAAATGACTGAGAAGGCCTTGTAATGTTGGGCATTGCTGTTTCTAAGCTTGACGTGAAGTCTTTTCAACGTGGTTTAATTGCTTTTAAATCACCTTTCTATCCATACTTATATTGACATTTTTGAACAGTGGTGGGACAGAAATCAATGAATCAACAGCGACAGAATTAACTTACCTCCACCCAACCAGTATTATTATTATTACCATATATACTCGAGTATAAGTTAGTTTTTCAGCCCTTTATTAAGTTGACCCCCCCCCCCTCGGCTTATACTTGAGTCAAGGTTATTTATTATTTTACTCTGATATTATTATTATTATTATTATTACATTTAATATTTTACTCAATTATTATTATTACATTTCCATTATTTTACTCTATTATTTTACTCTATTTATTATTATGATTAGATTTACATCTTTACTCTATTATTACTGTTATTATTACATTTCCATTAATTTACTCTATTATTTTTATTTTATTACATTTATTATTTTACTCTATTTATTATATTATTTTACTCTATTATTTTTATTTTATTACATTTATTATTTTACTCTATTTATTATTTTATTATTGTACTCTATTATTTTCATTTTATTACATTTATTATTTTACTCTATTATTATATTATTTTACTCTATTATTTTTATTTTATCACATTTATTATTTCATTCTATTTATTATTATGTTTCTCTATTTATTATTATATTATTTTACTCTATTATTTTCATTTTATTGCATTTATTATTTTACTCTATTTATTATTATATTAATTATTTTACTCTATTTATTATTTTATTATTGTACTCTATTATTTTCATTTTATTACATTTATTATTTTACTCTATTATTATATTATTTTACTCTATTATTTTTATTTTATCACATTTATTATTTCATTCTATTTATTATTATGTTTCTCTATTTACTATTATATTATTTTACTCTATTATTTTTATTTTATTACATTTATTATTTTACTCTATTATTATTATTATATTATTTTACTCTATTATTTTTATTTTATCACATTTATTATTTCATTCTATTTATTATTATGTTTCTCTATTTATTATTATATTATTTTACTCTATTATTTTCATTTTATTGCATTTATTATTTTACTCTATTTATTATTATATTATTGTACTCTATTATGTAAATAACCTATGTTATATGGTGTGAAAATTGCTTATTGTTTAAACTGTGTGATTTCAGAAATGCTGAAATGTTAAAACATAGAGATGTGTAGTATTGGTAGAGTGTCACTTTTGGAGCTTCCTATGCTGATTTTGCACATTCTAATACTAATAATAGATAAATAGCCCCTTTGAGTCTCCATATGGAGACTCCAAACTTGGTACATAAAACTAAGAGCACTTTGAAGCAAGACCATGATCAAATTCCAACGTTGACCTGACTGAGACATTACTTCCAACGTTGACCTGTCTGAGGCATTACTCTTAGTTTTATGTACCAAGTTTTTGCCAAGTTTAGAATTGTCATATGAGAGTTTCTTGCTGACTTATTATGTTGACATATCCCACCTTTTCTGATAAGAGAGAAATAATGTGCTTCTTGCAGGGTGCTGAGATGCGAGTGGACATGACAGATGAAAGCAATTCAATGTTTGTGGGAGGATTGGCCTTTCTGTGAGTCTGGAGAAGGTGTTGACAACACAAAATGATGATGGTGATGATGACACACAGGGTCATATGGGCAGGAAGAAGGTGGAAGGAGCAAGGAAACCTACCTGCAGGGTCTTCCCCAGGCCCATGCAGTGGGCAAGGATGCAGCCGGAGCCGGCAGACTTCCGTGTTTTTTTCACAGATTCACAACAGCAATCCCACATAAATTGAACACCTAGAAATATGGGGGGGGGGGGGTTGAGGGGGGGGGGGGGAGGAAAACAGCAATTTACAACCAATTGGACTGGGGTTTCTCTCCACCTCTATTGATTCAAAGCTGTAAACTCACAGGAATAATAATTTATTATTATTATTATTATTATTATTATTATTATTATTATCTATATAAATAAAAATGTAATGTTCGTTTGTGGGATTAACAGAAGTCAAAAACCACTGGGGGAATTGACACCAAATTTGGACACGCTACACCGAACAACCCAATGTATGTCCATCACTCAAAAAAAAAATTGATTTTGTCTTTTGGGAGTTGTAGTTGCTGGGATTTATAGTTCACCTACAATCAAAGAGCATTCTGAACCCCACCAACAATGGAATTGAACCAAACGTGGTATAACAGGACTCCCATGACCAACAGAAAACACTAGAAGGGTTTGGTGAGCATTGACCTTGAGTTTGGGAGTTGTAGTTCACCTACATCCAGAGCGCACTTTGGGCTCAAACAATGATGGATCTGGACCAAACTTGCCACGAATATTCCATATGCCCAAATATGAACACAGATGGTGTTTGGGGAAAATAGACCTTGACATTTGGAAGTTGTAGTTACTGGGATTTATAGTTCACCTACAATCAAAGAGCATTCTGAATCCCACAAACAAACAGAATTGGGGCAAACTTCCCACACAGAACCCCCATGACCAACAGAAAATACTTAAGGCCATCCAGTCCAACTCACTTCACCAGGGCAAGAAAATGTAATCAGAGCCCTCCTGACAAAGAGCCATCCAGCCATAGATATAGATAGATATGATATGATTCACACACAGACAGATATAGTATCATAGATTTGAAAGGGACCCTTAAAGAAGGACAATGATATGTTGCATGTACCAGGGTGGGCAAACCAGACAGTCTCCACATCAACACTGACAAAGAAACAGCAAGAAATACTCCACAAGCATAAAGACATTACATATATTAGAAACCTACAGTTTCTCATTCCTTTGTTTTCCAGATCAACAGACTGGGCCACAGCAATGCGTGGGGACACAATAATAATAATAATAATAATAATAATAATAATAATAATAATACTTTATTTATATACCGCTCTATCTCCCCGAGGGGACTCAGCAGTTCCCAGGTAAAAATCACAGAACATACAAAGTAAAAACAACATAACCATAAGAGTAACAAAAAAAATGCATTAAAATTATCGCCATAACACACATTTATTAAAAGTAATCCTGTCTGTTCAAGGCAATTTAAAAACAGACCAATGCTTGGGTCCTGTTTCCTTACCGTCCACTTGATGGGGCTTCAGTTTCGTCACGATGTCTTTGTGCATCTGAACGATGGGCTCCTTGGTTTCCTCGTCTTCGTCCAAAACCAGCTTTGTCGTTATGGGGCATTTAACGGGTGCGTCCAATATTTCAATCACCTGGGGGGGGGGGGGGATGTTTGCGTAAATGAATCAAGCTGTTTCAGGGTCAACGAATAATAATAATAATGGGTTGTTGTAGTTTTTTTCAGGCTATATGGACATGTTCTAGAGGCATTTTCTCCTGACGTTTCGCCTGCATCTATGGCAAGCATCCTCAGAGGTAGTGAGGTCTGTTGGAACTAGGAAAAAAGGGTTATATATCTGTGGAATGACCAGGGTGGGACAAAGGACTCTTGTCTGCTGGAGCTAGGTGTGAATGTTTCAACTGACCACCTTGATTAGCATTTGATTGCCTGGCAGTGCCTGGAGCAGTCTTTTGTTGAGAGGTGATTAGATGTCCTTCTTTGTTTCCTGTCTGTTGTTTTGCTGTTCTAATTTTAGAGTTTTTTAATACTGGTAGCCAGATTTTGTTCATTCATGGTTTCCTCCTTTCTGTTGAAATTGTCCACATGCTTGTGTATTGCAATGGCTTCTCTGTATAGTCTGACATGGTGGTTGTTGGAGTGATCTAGCATTTCTGTGTTCTCAAATAATATGTTGTGTCCAGGTTGGTTCATCAGGTGCTCTGCTATGGCTGGACACAACATATTGAGAACACAGAAATGCTGGATCAAGGTGGTCAGTTGAAACATTCACACCTAGCTCCAACAGACAAGAGTCCTTTGCCCCACCCTGGTCATTCCACAGATATATAAACCCATTTTCCTAGTTCCAACAGACCTCACGACCTCTGTGGATGCTTGCCATAAATGCAGGCGAAACGTTAGGAGAAATGCCTCTAGAACATGGACATATAGCCAGAAAAAACGTACAATAACCCAATAGCAGTAGTAGTAGTAATTTTATTGATTAGCCCTTAGGCCATATCACAATAAGAAACAGAACAAGGCCTGACAAGACCTGATCACACTCCACGTAGTAAGTTAAAATAAGACACTTATAATAATACAGTAAGTAAATATGATAAGACATGATAAAACTGGCCATATAGCCCGAAAAAACCTACAACAACCCAATAATAATAATAATAATAATAATAATAATAATAATAATAATAATAGAATCATAGAATCATAGAATCAAAGAGTTGGAAGAGACCTCCTGGGCCATCATCCAGTCCAACCCCCTGCCAAGAAGCAGGAATATTGCATTCAAATCACCCCTGACAGATGGCCATCCAGCCTCTGTTTAAAAGCTTCCAAAGAAGGAGCCTCCACCACACTCAGGGCAGAGAGTTCCACTGCTGAACGGCTCTCACAGTCAGGAAGTTCTTCCTCATGTTCAGATGGAATCTCCTCTCTTGTAGTTTGAAGCCATTGTGTCCTAGTCTCCAAGGAAGCAGAAAACAAGCTTGCTCCCTCCTCCCTGTGGCTTCCTCTCACATATTTATACATGGCTATCATATCTCCTCTCAGCCTTCTCTTCTTCAGGCTAAACATGTCCAGCTCCTTAAGCCGCTCCTCATAGGGCTTGTTCTCCAGACCCTTGATCATTTTAGTCGCCCTCCTCTGGACACATTCCAGCTTGTCAATATCTCTCTTGAATTGTGGTGCCCAGAATTGGACACAATATTCCAGGTGTGGTCTAACCAAAGCAGAATAGAGGGGAGCATGACTTCCCTAGATCTAGACACTAGGCTCCTCTTGATGCAGGCCAAAATCCCATTGCTTTTTTTGCCGCCACATCACATTGTTGGCTCATGTTTAACTTGTTGTCCACGAGGACTCCAAGATCTTTTTCACACGTACTGCTCTCGAGCCAGGCGAGATCTTTATTTATATTCCGCCACCATCTCCCCAATGGGGACTCAGGGTGGCTTACATGAGGTCAGGCCCGACAATGCATTACAATAAAATTAAAAACAAAGCAAATAACAACCAACACAATAAGATTAATAAAACATAACAGTTCAGTAAATAATATTTTAAAAAAACAGGCAACGAAGCAGCACTGCTTGAATATCAAGCAAAAAGTGGGTGCTAGAAAAAAAATATCATATGAAAGCGGACTGGCACAACCCTTAAAACTTCTCCGAAAACCCCCTTTTGGCTGTGGCCTGATGCCTAGAGGAAGCTCACTTGCCTCTCTGAGCTTCTCTCTCTCGCGCTCCCTTTCCGCGATCCGCCTCCTCCTCTCCTCCTCTTCTTTCAGTGCGTTCTGCGTCTCCGTTCGGAGCTTATCGTCCTTGATGATCTTCCGTATCTTCTTCCTGCCTTTCCCTGGAGATTTGGAATCATCGTTGTCGTCATCGCCTGAATTACTCTGTGAAACAAAACACAAAAATAAACTTGCAGGCTTTGGAGAACAGATGCTGCCGACATCCTCTTTGCCCAAGGAGAATAAGTACCCCTGATTTTGCCTTCACCCTATCTGTATCTTATTCAGTTCTTTGGGAGCTTGGCACTTCGGGCCCCAAACCCGAGATTTTAGCATAGCTGAAATCACTCGGCTCACACACAACCCCTTGTGGCCACTGACCATGTGCTCTAGAAGATTCTGGGAGCTGTTATCCAAAGGGCAGTGTCTCCAAGGTCTAGTGCACATGTGTAATGCAAAGATCGGCCAGTTTACATTAGCATCATATCTCTGAATACAATACACCTCAGTTAACAAATGTGTTTCTGAGAGGTGGAGGCATGGGCTTTACCAGCCTTAAACAGTTTTTAATGCCACTGATTTCAGCAGGAGGTTTTTATGCATGTGCTTAATGTCACCATAGAAATAAATCATCTCTCAAAAATGCTAAATGGCCAGACCGTATTCCATGAAAAATAATTCTGATCACTGGCATCTACCTAGGACAATTAGCTGCATAAGTAATGCTTCGAGAAATATGCACCATAGAAAAAAACTGCTTGAATGAACATGCAGGGCTTTTATTTCCACATATGATCTTATGACAGTAGGAACAAATTGTACAACAGATAATAATAGAAAGCTTAAGGATGGTTCATTAGCAGAGATGAAACTTCATGAAAACTGCACTCTTACTTATAAGCCACTTTTTTT